TCTCTCTCTCTCTCTCTCTCCTTTTAACTCTCTTTCTGTCTCTCTTTCTCTCTCTTTCCGTTGCTTTATATAAAGTCGAAATGAATCGCCTCTCGATTATTACGAGTTGGAATAACTGTTATCGGAAGCGTAACGATTTCCCATTTATTTCGCCTTACCGAAGAAATAACAGTTTCTGACAAAAAGAATATTTTGTCATGCTCGTCAAAAGCGAAGGTGTAATTGTCGGAAGAAGAGCATCTTGTTTTTGCACGCCCGCGCGCGACGTGTAAAAATTGTCCGCGACGCGACGTCTCGCTCGCGACATCACGGCGGCGGCGGAGGAGTTTCGCGCTTCAGTAACCGGAACGGAAGTATTTTCGAAGTACAATATTTTCATCGTTTAGCGGAAGTGGAGTAAATAGATATAGCGGCGTGACGTACAATTTCTCTTCGTTTCTGCCGCCGAATTATTACGGGGCACAGGGTGCAGCTGCGCAATGAACCGCCTATCCGGCGTGTCGCCGAAACCACTATACTTTCCGTCGTCGTCGTGGCAGCCTTTTATCTCCGGGTGATATATGAGGGCGAATAGGGCTTCTCTCTCTCCGCCGCGGCGTTGGACATTGTGTTGCACGGGTCGTGTCGCAGAATGCGTTGTAGTATCCCCCGTGTTGCCCCGGGGCTTTTAAGCTAATTTGACGCAGCGCGTACCGCGCGCGCGGTCATTTTCCGCGCACAACTCGTCTTCGTCGCGTCCTCGCATTTGGTTCATGCCTTGTCGTTACTTTCCCCATCTTTTTTTCGCGAAACAGCAGGTCGACGAGCAAAAAAATAAAAAGAAAGAGAGGAAAATTTAAGCGCACGTAACGTAAATAAACAGATCTTGGTTTAAAGGGGAGGCGCAAAGCTCGGATTTTCTGTGTATTAGTTAAACAAACTCGGGCAATCTGACTCTTATAAGCTTCGAATCATCTTAAATAAGTAAAACTATTAAAATAGCTATAATATATAAAATAACTTATGTGCTAAAGCGACACGATACGAGGGACCTTGGTTCATTTTCCGAAAAAAATATCCTTTCTGAGGATATACGGTATAAGAAACGGACGACACATCCGTGTCGCGAGTTTAGGACCGTAACAAATTTAAATCCTGCGAAATCTGACGATTTGTCGTCCGGCGAAGATTCTTTAAAACATGCTCGGCGATATGTACCTCGTACACGTCCCCGGGTCAGAGCGAGGCGGGCGGACGGTCGATGGAAGGAGCGGAGGAGATAGATCGGTGAGACTGTAGAGACCCCGGAGAGACGGAGAAGAGGGATATTTGCAATTCCAATCCCATCTTCGACCTCGTCTCTTGCGCAACCTCCACCTCCATCCCGCCCTACCTCCCGTTTCCGAGGGACGTAGACGTTTCTCGCGTAACTTCGCCGGCCGCGGAATGCCCGACAGACTGACGGACGCGAAAACGACACCGAAACGCGTTACGCCGCGCTCTGAACGAAACACATTGTCAGATTTTTCGCGATTTTCTCTGCGCGGCCAAATGAAAAAGCTATGCGAGGCACGAGCGTTTTTAATTCCCCGTTCCCAAATTTTTCATAGTTTGCGTAGGATAATTGAAACGTTGAATATCTCTTTAATTGGCCGTAGCGCCGATAAATGGCACGAGAGAATTCGTCGTATTACCTCGCAAAAAAAGTGCGTGCGTGCGCACGATCGAGTATTTAAAGTATTTGAAAATGATTTTTTTTTCTAATATTGTCTAGGAAGTAAAGTACATATTCCTAGGAGGTATGTCTCACAAATATTTTACAAGTTAAATTTGCAGTTGCTGATTGAAGACCAGAAGTTTTTCCGAGTGCTCTCATTGCACACGTAGTTACCGAATGAGACTAATGTAACTAATGTAACGTAATCATACCCAATTGCGGGATTTACTCACGAGAATTTACTCGAACGATTAAATATATATATATATATATATATATATATATATATAAACCTATTTACGCTAATCGGTTAAATAGTTATTGCAGATTACGAGACGAGAGAGCATTATCTACACACGACGCATGGAGCCGTATAAGAACGCTGCGTTAACGACGGACGACAATGCTCGACTTCCGCAAGCGTGTCCAAGAAGCGTACGATTTCATCATTAGCAGAAATTTGTTTCGTGACGTATCAACGGACCTCGGAGGAAGGTGAATTTATTTCAAAGATTATGCTTTCGACTAACAAATCGGCACACTGTACGTATGGATATTATTTCAACTCTTTTTCTCGCGCAATTTTTACAAGAGCATAATGCAGAAAAATATATGTAATATAAAATATATAATATTTTTTGCTTAAAACATTGTATTACGTGTTGCGTTACAACGGAATAAGAAATGATATCCCTCTGTACATAAATACACCGTAAAAGCTTCCTTCGACGGATTTCATATTGTCGTATTCACGATTTTATATCTTTCTTTTTTATTTTTTCAAATTAAGTATTTCATGAATTCGCAAATTTTCGCTCTTAAATAATTTTACGAGCCCTTGCCTCCCCCCCTCCCCCTTTCTCTCTGTCTGTCTGTCTGTTCCTTTTTCTTCATTAAACTCGATTGTGATGTCTTGTTAACGACGGAACTTCGTCGATAAATACAAGCACGCGGGCGGGAGAGTGCCCCCCGCTATAAATTCTTCCTGTTTTCTGCACGCGTATTCCACGGCCAACCATCTCTTCAGCATATTTCATTTCCTTCTCTCCGTCTACGCGCCGGCCGGCTCCTCCCTCCTTCTGTATTTTCCCGTCTACCAGAGGAGAAATAAATTAAAATAGAAATTTGCAATTTCCTACGCTTTAAGAGTTCAATTCTATTCACCCCGACTTACGCTGATTCAATTCGCCAGTTTTTAATGTAAAATTAAACTTCATAAATTTGCAGAGCTCTTAACGAGTAAAAGTGAGGCGGAATAATGGCATTCGTCTTCCCCTCTCCCCTCCCCCCCGCTCCCCCCGCGGAGCGGATAACTGAAATACTTGTCGTTTACGCAATTAGTTAACTCATGATATGTTACATTATGTTAATACTTTCAAAGACGAGGTGAAATCTTTTGCCTCACGAGTTATCTCGCCGGGACTTCGTTATTCCGATCTTTGCATTCTCGGAAGGCCGAAGTTTCGGTGTATACAAACGACGGCGTTATGCCCGGAAGTTCATTTTATCGGTCCGAATTGGAGACGTCCATAAATTGAATTCCGATGGATGGAGTTCTAAATGGAGTTACGTACAATCGTACAACCAAACAAGCGACAACGAAGCGTGACAATAATATTGACAAGAAAGGGAGAGACAGAGAGGGAGAGAGAGGGATTGTGTGCGTGTATGTATATGTGTGTTCGCGCAGGTCAATCAATAGGTAATGGTATAGATCGGCGAGAAAGAGTGACGGCGATCGATGTACGAGGGACGTAGTAATCGCGTGGCAACCGTGTCGATCGGACAGACGTATATATATCTTCGGCGATCCACGAATCGTTTGTAAGTGATCACGATCAAAAGAGTCGCGTCGCGTCCGTTCTATTTACTCTCTCTTTCCCTCTCTCTCTCTCTCTCACTCTCTCTCTCTCTCTCTCTGTTTCTCTCTTTGGCTGTCTCAATTAAATCGGAGGGATATCGCTTGCGGGAAATCAAGGAAATCGATAACGGATGCGAGCTTTAATTGAAGCCGTTAATTCCGATCTCGAGTTTCATCACGATACCGCCGGTCGTCGTATCGTCGTCCCGGCAAAGATCGAAGATCGCGCGCGCGTGCTGAGACTGCGTGTGGGCCGAGATTGCGCGTGGATGCATGCAACGTCGGACGCGGTCGCGATGAACGCGCTTCGAAATAGGCGGCGATCACGAGGCAACGTTATCGCCGCGTATCGTGGATGTGCTCCGTTGTGATTTAGGTAAATGCTCGGGGACGAGCGCAGCCGGCCGACGCGAGACGTCCGTGTTTTTCGTCGCTCCAACGCCTGGCGTTATACATACAGAGGAAACGCCTGAAGTGAGCGACCGTTATTAAAATTGTCACAAAAGGGATCGTTCCGGGAGCCGTGCCGTCGCGCGTCCTGACGAGGGATAAACCCTGGGATCAAATTTCAGTCCAATTCTGTAATACTTCGATACGTTGGACAGTGATGCTTACGGAGTGTGATACACAGTGTGATACTAGTTTATTAGCAACACCCGCGGTAATTTAAAGCAGTTTCATGCCAGGCAACTTTCTTTAAAAAAAAAAAAAAATAGAAAGAGAAAACGTTTACTGCACGAAAGTTATCGACAGATATACGTTCGAGCGGAATATCGGACAATTGAAAATTAGTACGCTAACTAGATGATGCTCGAGCAATATCCATCGTTAGTACGCCTCGCGAGTCCGAAACTTTCCGGCGGATTTATCCCTCGCGTGTATTCGATCGCGACGGCTCTCCGCCGGGAGGACAGCGCGGCTGCGGAAATTCTCGATCCGAGATTGTCGATCTCTCGCCGGCTCTGCTCGGAGCGCGAAACGTACGGGCGCGCGCGAGCGCGAGGCCGCGACAGTAAGCGCAGCGGACCGTTGCCGGTTCGTCAATGAGGTGGCCAGCTGTGCCCATCCTGTGTGCATCGCGCGACAATTATCGTCACAGGCAGCCGTGACTGCCCGTGCTCGTTCGTCCGCGGTTCGAGCACTTTTTACGAGCCCCACTACCCATCCGCATAAACACCACCGCTCGCCGTCGCGCCACATTGCCGCTTTTAGTCGCTGGTTAACCGTGCCATCGCGCTCGCGCCATCGCATCGCGACGACCTACACGCTCGTCACTCTCGGCTCTCCGTTGGATCGAAGGGGGGCTCCGTGTTAATACGCGAAAGACTAAATTACGCCAAAGCATACAACGCAAGCGAGATGCACCGGTCGCGCCACAATTGCGCCGAGTGCGACCGCTCGCCGCCCGCGCCGGCGTCGTAGTTTTCATGTCGACGCGAATAACCGGGCGCGCGAACCGATTCTAATCGATCTGATCGGTTTGACGACGCATTGGCAAAAACGCGTCAATGGAAAAGTTAGCTCCCGGAGGCGGGAATCCTGAGAGTGACGCGCGCTAACGCTAGCACTAACGAGTAGAACAAAGCTCCGACTTGGGCGTCGCGGGGAGAAAGACGCTCGCGAAGAAGAAACGGTCCGGTAAAAGCGGGCCAAGGTGTCAAAGACGTCAATCGTCGCAACGCATTAGCGTTTCGTTGTCCGCCGGTCGCCGTCGTCCCCGATCCGCGTCCCCGTCGCGCGCGGCCGCGGAGTCTCGTCACGAGACTCACCCGCTAACGATCGCCGCTAACGTGGCGAACGCGTGATCCCGGGATCGTCGCAGTACGTTCAGCGACCGCGCACGGCTATAACGGCCTTACCCGATCGCGATCAATAGCGCGAGTGAATCCGTGTCGACAGGTGTGTACGACGGGACGACGGGACGACCATCAGCAGTCACGAGGAGGACTCATGAGATTTGGACCGATCGATCGTTCGATCTGCATTATTTGCGCTCGCGCGGTCTGCATTTCGCATGGAGAGGATTAAAGTAGAGGGTATATAGAGCACAAAGGAGGAGGCTGTAAACTCTTCTGGAATTCGGTACCGTCCCCGAGAGAATTTTCAATCGATCAATAAATCGGCCGTGGAAAAAAAAAATGGAGATCGAGATGGGCGGCAGGACGAATAAACCCAGCGAGAGGCGAGTGTCGATCAGTGACCAAGTCATGGGACTCGATAATCCCGCCTTCGAGCACCACCGGCGCATCAGCGCGAGCTCGGAGCACAATTCCGATCAGGGCAGGCGGAAGTCGATCCTGCATCACGGCGGCGGCAGCCACGGCGGCGACAGCGCGGAGAACATTCCGCAGTACAAGTATAACGATCTGGAGAACGGCAGGATCAACGGTAACAGAAAGAAATCGGCGTACAGCCTGTCCAGCTCGATCCGAGACAAGATCGAGTATTCCGAGGAACTCGAGAGGTGAGAACCCCGATTATCCCCCCCCCCCCCCGGTAAGCCCCGCAAAATCTGTTTGCCGATACTTGCGACGGTGATAAGCGCGCGTCTCGATCGTTTTTGTAGACTCAGATCGACCTAGATCGGGAAGACGTTTCTTATATATTTCTCAATCTTATATCGATCGGTTATCAGAGCGATAATCCGCAATCGTGGATTCCATTCAACAAAACAAACAATGCAAACACCGCGCGAGTGTAATGTCGTTCAAAAAATACTTGCGCGATCAGTGATAATGAGTCACGTTGCAGCGAAAGTAAACAATCTCCTCGATAATGGGCGACAATAAGCCATAATTACTATGTGCTCCTTTTTGTCATACTGTTGCTAATTAGGCGTGACTTCTCTTATACGTTGTTGCAAACGATAGCGGACGTTTATCTCGCGACGCGAAGCATTTTGTTGCTTATCGAGGCCGTTCCAAGAAACCGATAAAATGAACTCTTTCCTTCAGATTTTGTTCATCTTTTTTGCTTTTATGATGTTTCTCTCCAAAATTATTTAACGGCCATAATTTGTGAATACTAGTAATCATTACAAAAATTATATGTTACATTTATTGACAATCTTTAGAACTTTTATAATATTTTAAATAATTTTAATATCATATAAATATCAAGTACACGTGATTTGTCGAATCATCGTCTTTATTTTCTCTTCATCGCATTTTGTGTCACACAATTCAGAGCTCAAAGGAAATGTTGATTCATTCATTAGTTGATTTGTATAGGTATCTCAAATCGATAAGGCCGGCAAAACTATTTGTATTACTAATGCGACATACAACATCATGAATTATCCTATTTCATGACTATCTTTTATGGCCTATTTTTATTTTCTTGATAGCAGTTATCTACTCGCAAAAATTTAAGCCTCTTCTCTCATATCATAATCAGTTTAGACGATCTTAAATAAGCTTAAATAGACGCACATGATTTTTTGAACAAGATATTTTCTCGTAAAACATAACTTGCGACTAACAGATTTTTTTAAATATAAAGATTGCATTACTCGAATAGTGACGTAATTCGGCAGATTTACGTTCCCGCTGACATTGCGGTATTGTGTGCATAATGCAATCTTTGTATTAAAAAATCTGTTAGTCACAAGTCACGCTTTTGCAAGAAAATAAAGTTTGATTGAAAGCTTGAAAGTTTAATTAAATTGCGTAGGAAGAAAAAAATTTGAAGTGTAATTCAATGTTTACAAGATACCCTTCGATTTGCTGTAAAGCGGTATATAATGTATTTTAGAATTATCGCATTTTCTTTGAAGTGTTCTTTTCTCTCGTAAACTTTGCATCGAATTTATCCATTAGCAAGAAATTAATTGGACGCCCAATTACAAAGCTATTCGCGGAATATAATAAGCAGAATAATGGAGTGCGAACAGTACGAAAGTATTTTCCTCAAAATGTGCGGCCAATAAATTATTGATTAGAGTTTATGAATTATTAATTCTTTATGACTTATGAATGAGCGTAACATAAATTGTAATAATACGCTTTCTACAGTCTGTAATGAAGTCGTTAACCCGAAATTATTATTGTGCACACAGCATAATGCAATTTAATAGACTTTAATGTACTACCATGTAAAGCCGCACACCAAATTAACTATTACATTGCTCGACAAAGGCATATAGACAGATATACTACATATAACTGTAGTAATCGTTAGTATCATATTGAAATTTAAGCTAGTTTAACAGTTACAAATTATCTTCACGGCTAAGCCAGTAGATACTGAGTAGATTGAAGCTATTGACGCTCGTACTTGAAGGCATTAAATCCAAGCAAACTTGTTCTGAGCGAGTAATACAACGATATGTTAAATGGAAATTGCATTACAAATGGAGATACCGCTTTAACGCGGTTTTTATTCAACGACCTCAACATTTCTGCTAAAAAAAGCAATGTTTCTGTATAATTAAAAAATCAAGATATTTTTTTATCTATAGATATTTGATTTTATTTAGTTTTTTAAGTTTTTTCCCCTTATGACAAAGATATTTTAATGTTAGTATCATTTTTAACACAGTTCTAGTATTAATTTTAAATATATATATATATATATATATATATATATATATCAAATGTTTTCAGTTAGAAGCTCAATTAATTGCGTTCTCTAAAAACTGTAAAATGCGTGCATCATATAAAACTGAAATAAAAAAAATTTTAATGCAAAATTTAAGATACTATTGAAATTCGCATTTAAAAATACAATTTCATATAAAAGGTTTGCATTTTTTGCTGCAAACAGTATAGTGTAAAGTGCTGGGAAAAATAGTTGAAAACGTAATATAGTAAACGGTAGTATAATAATGGACAGAAAGATTTTTACAGATACATCCTTTAAATAAATATTTCTGTTGCAATATTTGAAATTTTTCTCCAACATTGATAGTGTGTAGTACAAACTGGAAAAAGCACACAGTAACGCATGTTTTTTTCATTTGTTTCGCACTTACTGTTATCTTTCTTATAAAAAAAAAATAAACGAACGCTTTCTCGTGCAATACACTATCTCTAATCGCACGCATTCCAGATGATTGATTTTCATCAAATAATTCTACTGCCCACAGATAATTATTTTTACTAGTTAAAAGAAACTGCTAAATATTTTTGCTCGCGCATTAATTATGTTTTCATTTATTACATTTGAAATAGAAAAGTTAATATCTGTGTGTCGATATGTTATCTTCGATTTCCGCATTACAGAAATTAGAGAGCGCCACGAGGAAAAGCGAAAAGAATATTATTGGCCACGGTTGTTTCGTCACAGTTTAATGTGCCACGCTCTTTATCTCATTACGTCATTTACGTCTCTTTCAGATCGTGGCTGTACCTATTTTGCACGCGATGTCACGGTCGCGACGACACGCCATCGTGGGAGCCACCGGGATGGAAAAGAGCGTGCCCGCAGCCGTTCTGTCCAACATACAGGAAATTCGCCCGAGTTCTGTGTCTGTTTCTTTTGGGTCTGCTGTTCTGGGGTATCGCCTACTCGGTAATCGGCGATGACGTCGCCCCGGGTGGCCAGCTCTTCGGATTGGCCGCTCTGTGCATCGCCGCTCACTTCGGGGGTTGGCTGTTCTCTTTAACCACTCTTCCGGCCCTGATCGGTATGCTGATCACTGGTCTAATATTGCAAAATGTCGGGCTCGTCAAAATCGAAGGCCAATACACCGTGGTGATCGCTAATCTACGGTGAGTCTTTTTCCGGCGTGAATGTTCCAATTCTCGTTGTGAGATTCTTGTCGAATATCTGGTCATTTCTCGCTGAAATGAAAGAAGTTTCCGAAGTGTCAGCAAAAATCGTCAGGTGTCAGCAACGATTCTCTTCAATTTAATTTTGAAATTGATATGAAAATATTTCAGCAGAATAGCGATTGTGAGAAGGAAAATTTCATTATAATATTTAACTTCATTAACTATATTTGAAAATTTAACTTGGATTTTATTACATTATTTTCTTGCATTTGCAAACTTTTTATTCTATTGTAGTTAATTAATAAAATTATAATTATATTGAGTTAATAATTAATTGACAACTAATTTTATTGTAAAATTTATTGTTAAAAAGCTATTTTTATTTAAAAATTAATTTAATTAAAATCAAATCGATACAGTCTTCATCAAGGTGATCTCAATGAAGAATTAATAATGTAGTTTGTGTGAATCCCAGACTCAAAAAATACATGCAAGGTGTAAATTTTAAACCCTTATTTGATGTTTTTTTTTAAATAGTAACAATTCTGTTCGTTTGATGAAATAATAAAATTTGATCGCGGCGCCTCTCGTGTAAGAAATAAATCAATAGAGAATGGAAGTTCTCTGAAAACTCCCTTTTTTTATTGAAAAATAAAAAAGTTTACTGAAAAGTTTATGTTCTACGTAATTTTTGATAAAATTAATTCCCATTTTAAAATCGGCATATCGGATTTTATTTGATGAACGGAGGACAAAAACAAATGGGAAAGAGCACAGAGAACTCTTGGCGGACCAATTTCTTACGTAAACTCGAGGTTGAACCGGTTAAATCGCTTTTTCATTGCGAACAATCGTTATCTCTACTCGCGTGTCTTTATTGGAAAAACGTGTCATTATTGACGGCGACGACGACGACGACGGGCGACGACGATGACAATGACGACGATTACGCGAAGGTCCCTCGAAAGTCTCCGAGGTAACGATCAACTCATCGCGGTCGCAAGGTGGCCGCTTTTTAAGGTCGAGGTCTAACGACGGTGAATCGCTGGTGGACACGCACGACTCGTACGGCTCTATGCACGGCATAACAAGTGCCGTGCGCTTCAGCGGCAATCAAATTCAAGCTGCATCCCCGCTAACGAATGCCTGGTTGACAAAAGGGTCGAATAAGATCCGACCGGGTTTCCCACAATCAGCCTGCCTTCTTCTCGCGTGCTCGATAGCTCTCCAAGGTTTCCCCATATTTTATGACCGCAGGAGAATGTATTTATCCGTAATCTCTTTACGCAGGCTGCGTTAGCCTTTGATCCCGCGGCGACAACAGAAAAAAGAAGTAAAAAAAAAAGGATGGACCGCGCATGCGACTTGCTGCAGCACATTTCGCTTATGTTAATATAAAATTAAAATTCCAATGAGGTGCGTTTAGATATGAAAAGTATGCAAATTAGCCCTTAACTTCTCGGCGCGTGTACTTGACCCACTTTACCGCCGCTGATCGATGTCATCGCGATGACATTACCGAAGTTGACGAGCTCGTCAACTTCGTCCCTCTCCTTCAACAATCTTTAGAACTAGTTTTCCACGGGATTATAACTCCTTAATATCCGCGCGTACGTTTGATACATATTAGTTTGTAAGTAACATATTAGATTTCCGTTAAATTTCCATCTTACGATGTTAAGTTACCGCAAACATGTATGACAAATTAACGCACAAAGAAGAATATATCGAGTTTCAGACGTCGTTTACTCTGCGAGAAACGGTATGTGAAATTTCTCATATTCACATAGTAACGGAGCAGTTAAAGCAGACGTTTCTGCAATAAACGATTCCATTAATACGGAATGACAGCAATTATCGCTATTACGTCGATTATCGTCGATTGTGGACACCAAGATTTCTATATTCCTTCCGTTTCGAAATAGATTTCCCGCAATTGCGTCTGAATTTGTTGGATCATCGCCCGATCGATTGGTCAAATTCGCCTTATGACTCGAACGGCCTACTAATGGCGGAGAAGCGCAGGTAGAATTGTTAATGCTGACGAGCCATGGATCATACATACCGTTCTCTTGTCACAGCAACCGTTATGCCTGATCTTGCTAGGAATTTAATTTAATCGACAGCTCCATCGGTTACTGGCGATCGACGAAATATTGATTTTTCGTTAAAAAAAACAAATATAAAAAAAATCTTTTTTATACGCGGTTTGTTTTTGTTGCGAATTTATATATTCCCCCCCCCCCCTAAATAATTTCTGTTAAAATTAAAAAATGACAGCTGGTTGAATTTTTTAAAAAGTGATCCATTGCTTCGCACGATAAAAGTTTTCGTTATAAATCATATTAATACAAACATATATCACACGTCGTATTAGCTGATACATTTTTTCGAACGTCAATTATCGGGAAACCGCGTTGAGAAATATATAGGAGAAATATGTAGAAAAGTTGTCCGATCGTTTATGCGGAGCATACGAGTAACACTCGTGATTGGCGTGATATTACGTATTCTTTTATTTTTTCAGGATTTATCTCTTCAAGTATTTATGAAGAGAGGCATGCATCTCTCTCTCGAGCGTATAATATTTCCTCCGCAATAATATTTCGTAATACAAATACGCATACTTTTTCCCGCGAGGCCTGCAAAGATATCTCCGTAATCTGTTGACTTATCTTATTATTGAGACACACAGATTTATCGATAAGTGTCGCGCGATAAGTTGCTCGTCCAGATGTGTAATTTTCAGTAGCGTGCGCGAAACGAGATCCCATTTACTACACGAAAGAAACGGAGGAGCCGTGGCCGTGCAAAATTATGCAGTCTATGAATTTGTTTAACGACAGCTTAAAAATGAAGGTGATTTAATAACCGTCGGCATTACGGCACGAAAAATTGTGCACTTAGAGGCACCGTTCAAAGATTGGACGTATCTACCGGCTACCGTATGTTTCGAGGATGAGGCGGCCTGCAAGACGCGACGCCGCGTCGGCCATAAGTTTCCCCGTTAACGATTTCTTCAATGGCTCGTCTGTCACATTTTATTCCACGTGACTTCGCGTGTTCGCTGCTCCAACTTTTCGTTTCATTATTCATTGCAGTTGGAAGATAATGGCCAAGGTTACACGAAGATTAAGTGGCGAGACGATGTCGCGGAGACTTCAAAAAAGTCTTAATCTTGAAGTCTCTTGAATTTTCGCATTACGCAAATTACATGTCGAACACGTCGAGCTGTAGCGGTGGTGGGAAAGAGGGGGCGGGGGGGATGGTTACGTTTTTGACGGAACCGTCGATGTATATCCGGAGTGCTCTGTTACACGCGCGAGGGTTAAACCTTTAGACACCGGCTCCAGCGGACGTTTACGCGCGTCGTTAGGAGGTCATGTACGCCTAAGCTAAATGCGGCTAAATACGAGCAAACACAGGACCCGCGCGTGTTGCAAGCGATTTGCGTACACGTTCGCTTAGGCGAAGCCACCCCGTGTATATGCCCGCGTAAACATCCCCAGAAGCCGCGGTTCGGCATCGACTGCAAGACTAATAAAGTGATCAAACCGCGGTCAGGCGCTTATTGACATGTGCAATTTGCCAGTCAGTTATCAGGAAATGACCGAAATGCAATAGCTGCATGCGAATCAAATGTATAACAGCAGCGTTGTTACGTTATACGTCATTCGACGCGTTTTTCAGATATACAATCCGAATTCAATTTTTCAGTTACTAAAAGTGCCGCCGCGCGAATTTGCAGAGTTTTCCTCATTGTCAGTAAGAATGAGGAAAACTTATAACTGGCCTTATAAACTTATAACTGGCAAAGTAGCGTGGGAGAGACCTTGTACAAGAAAAATATTAATTATTTCTATTACAACTCTATAGTACCTCAATATCATCATGAAGAAAAATTTTCTCACAATCATTTTATTCGTTTGCTCGCGAAAACTTTCCGTTTGTCGCGATATCTCAGTAATGCGAGCCACGTCGTCCGTTTTCTTCGCGCATTTTTTCGTTCTGCAGAGACTCTACTCTCACGCTTCCACGTCGATAAGACGTACGAGCGCGAGTCCCCCGTAAATATCCTTGCGACACACACACACACACACACACACGCGCGCGCGCGCGCGTACGCGGCATTCTCCGGACACAATTTACACGAAACTCGTTGGAAGATGCAGTTTCCAGTTTCCTTCCAGCTTACTTAAAAAAAAAATTTCCTTTGATCCCGTGATGTTGAAGCGGCACGGTGTTCGCTACAAGATACAATTATTCATTGGATATAGTTATTCAGACACAATTATTCAATTTTCCACTTTTTTCCGCTCGGTAGTGCTTGCATAGACAAAAGATTTGAATTTTCACAAATTCTTTTAGAGAAGATAAATTTGTAAATAAAAATATTTTCTCGTTTACATTATTAAAACAGATGGTTAATAGCCATCTATTGTGATATTCTAAAATTTGGTGACTTTATATATTCACGATATATCATTCGGATTATCACATAATTGTTGATGCATAAAGATGCTTGAGCGTGTTATTCTTGTTCTTCTCGACGACGTAATAAAAAGGCCGTGACTTTTTGTCTCTTCGCGAAATCCTTTTTAAGACCGACACGGTGCAGCGCGACGATTCCGTTCACTGCGCGTCCGTTTACTGCCGTGGATGTCGATCGTAAATTATACGGCACGTGATTATCGAGCGTTGCCTTCGAGAATCACTTTTAATCTACAAGGAAAATCAGAGTAGTGATCGCGCGTAACTGACCGTATAGATCACTCGGAATTTATTAATTCTGTGCAAGATGATACGCAAGCGTTTAATCGTCACGCGGAAAGATTCGTCGACCGGCAGATTACCGCGACGGCAATAATTGTTTGCGTAATACCTCGTCGGCAGGTGGCTCTTCCCCGGAAATCGGATGTAATGGTACTCTCCCCCCTCGCAAAATCTAAAGACTGAAGATTGAAATTTCCGCGTGTTAATTCGATATCCAACGTGCCAAACAACTGGTGCGCTTTGCAATTTAAATGAAACGCCAGCGAGGGCATCCGCGCCGTACTGAATTATGTCTATATAATCAAATATTCATTTTCGTTTACATAATCATGAAGTCATACGTATCGCCCATATGTTTCGTACGTTCGCCGCGTGGTCACGTTATATTACATGACAATTAAGCAAACATCGAGACGGGCATTTCGCGCTTCGCGAAATGCTATGCAAACACATTCGGTATTACCAATTATCGCGATCCTTCCGTATACAGTTTATATACTATATGCTCATACTCGTCATAGTTCATACTCGTTTCGATTATATTTTTATTACACGCGGTCGGTGCCGCGCAAAAGCGACTGATAAACTGCCGTGGAATTAACCCGTCCATTACGAGGAGAGAAATTAAATTAACATACAGCAATCTTTATCCATCGTGCTTTAATAATAATAATAAAAGAAAGACCCTATTGTGTGGTGTATACGTGAAAAGAGAAAATTATCCATTCGAAACTGAAACTTTGAAACACACGCGACTGAAAGGCTACGTCGTTTCATTTTAGCGTATAATATAATAACACAATGTACATAATAACGATGCTAATCCTCCCACGGCGTGATTTTTTTTGGCCTTTAAATAATTATAATTAAATGTAAAATCCATACGCGGCATTAAGATCCGCAAAATACCGTTTTTCAGTACGTAGGAACATTATACCCATATACATGAAATTATTATTACGTGCACGCCGGTAATAATTAATAATATTAATAGAATACCGTGAGGGAGAGAACGAAAGAGAGGAGAGAGAGAGAGAGAGAGAGAGAGAGAGAGAGAGAGAGAGCGGGAGAGAATAGAGAGAAAGAGAAAGAGAGATGCGCTACACGGTGTGTCGGTGTAAATTCGACGCTTTCACCCCCCGCGATTGGAAGGCGACGCGACGTCACGCCGTGCAAAATGCACGGTCGCCCGTGCAGCGACTTCGTAAACCTTTCTCTTCGCCGGGAGAGAAACTCGTAATAGGATAAGTTTCCGAGGGTGTGCCTTTCCTAAACGGGTTTTCGAAAGTTCGAGACAACCGGGGCTTCAACGATCGTCCGTACCTGAATTTTCATCGTAAGCTCGCGACGCGAACTTTTGTCGCCGCGCTTGTCGTTCCAGATTCGCGGATGCGAGAGGCCTCGGAAGACATACGAATTGCAGAGAGGGACACGTGGACCGTTCTCCCCCTTCTCTCTCCCACGTCTGGCAAAGTACTTGGTTAACTCCTTTTCGTCGAACTTGAGGATATGCGTTGGTCAAGAGTATGCATAGAACGCGCGTTTTACTTCCAGCTATAACTTTCGCGAAGAAAGAGGAGTCCCCCCCCCCATCTTTTCCGACAGATATTCTTTCGATAATGGAACCCTCGGTGCTCCCTGCTGTGCACGCGCGTGAAGCAGATTGTACTCATTGTCCTCTTCTTTGCAGGAAAATCGCCCTGGTTATCATACTTACCAGAGCGGGCCTGGATCTCGATCCGAACGCTTTGAAAAGATTAAAAATCACCGTGCCGAAGATGGGCTTGATACCGTGGGTGATAGAGGCCCTAGTGATCGCCGTGTCAACGAGATACCTCTTGGACCTGCCCTGGGTGTGGGGCTTCCTCCTCGGTAGCATCATAGCGGCCGTCTCGCCAGCCGTCGTGGTGCCCTGTCTCTTCAGGCTACGTAGCAGGGGTTACGGGGTCGCCAAGGTAAGGCCACTTATTCCCCGGTCCTTTGTTGGAATATTTGAATATTCACCCGCGTCGCGGGATCTTCTCGTCTCTCATTCGTAAGAACGGATCATAAGTCTCCTGGAACTAATTTCGCCCGACTTCCGTGCATTAGGTAGTAAAATAGATTTATACTATAGATCTAGGACTTTAAGCGGATGATAAATGGCGGAGTTAACATAATTTTCCCTTAAGAATAATTGAGATTTACTATACCGTCAAAAGATGTTTATCGACGGCCGCGCCGTTTCTTACTTCCTCTTCCTCTTGTTTTCTATGTACGGATCTCACGATATAGCAATATATTTTCCTGCCACATCTTCGTTCGTAAAATGCAATTATAATCCTACCCGGTGCCCGCGATTATAAAATTTATGCGAGAAGGAAATTGAAGGGAACAGGGCGTTCGGGAAGCGTTTAGAAAAGTAAATATCACTCTGTATATCACGGGGGGTGGCAGACGGCGGTTTATTGCGAGTGCCGTTAAATTAATATTTAATCGTAATTGCCCGAGTAATTGGATTACACATCGCGGTTCATGTTTTATATTAATCGAATACGGCCCTGCGCAAAGCGAATTTATACAGGCGGTCCGGGGTATATGTATACACGGCCGCTATGTTTGACGCGCTCGACATTAGCGTATTAGAGGAGTTTCCATGTTAATGAACGCAACGCGAGCGTAATTAAATTTCTTTCGGCCCGATACGCGCCAGCCGTGATAACCGTGAAACGGTTTTAGCCGGTGCGCGGGAATATCGTTCCTCGTTCGGGGAAACTGATTTTCGTGAATTCCGCCGCGCACGATATTTTGGATAACGCGGCGCTTCGTGAATCGGCCTGAATCAAGATTCAACCCCCTAAATCTTGATTCAGGCCGATTCCATCGGGCGTTTTCCGCTTAGCACGCGATCGCACGTGACTCCTCCGCGCCGCGGATCTAATTACGATCGCGCCGCCGCGCCGCGTCGCGCCGACCGGAAGAAGACCGCGCGCCGAAGGATCACGCGAATTTGCTCGCGACGTGCAACAACAACGTAAAGGCCGATTCGGTGTGATACAAAAGGGCCTGCACAGCGGGATAAGAACGAGGGATAAGGAAGGGAAACGTACCGGACTTAAATAATTCAGTTTGGAAAATGGAACGGAAGATGCTTGAAGAGCACAAAGACCAGTGCGGCGAATGTGATATTCATGAGCCGAAAGAACCAGACGATACTTCTTCATTTGGCGGAACGTAATGCAACGCGGCCGGAGGAGGAAGAAGTGGAGGAGAGGGAGGAGGAGGAGGAGGAGGAGGAGGAGGAGGAGGAGAAAAAGGAGGACGGTCGTGATAAACCGTAAACTGGAGATTCGCGGTTGGTGTTACTCGCCCCCCTGCTATTCGCCGGCCGCGCGCGGAGATCGGGGATTCTTATCGCGTCGCGGATGGAAAACCTCACGACGAGACATTGACCGATTGTGGTTCTGCAAACTCACGTGCGTCCTACGAGTATTCGCAAGCAAGCACCCACGGGACGGGGGGCTCCGTGATGAGCGGGAGGGAGCTGTCCTCCTCCGCTGATCTCGCGCCACGATCGTGTGCAGCGATCAATTAGACGTTCTCGTCTCCTCCGTCGTTCTCTCTCTTTCTTTCTCTCTCTCTCTCTCTCTCTCTCTCTCTCTCTCTCTCTCTTTCTCTTCCATGTAAGTAGTTCAACTCCGAGAATCACGATAGCCGACGGACTTAAATCCCCGAACGAGCTATCGTGACACCGATAACACTGCCCGGGCCCGCGCCAGGATCGTGCTCGAGTGTCGTCGACCATTCTCAATAGCGCCTCCCGCGCCTCTGGCTCTCTTTCTCTCTCTTTCTCTCTCTCTCTCTCTCTCTCTCTCTCTCTCTTTCTCTCTTCCTTCGATTCTCTTTCAGACCCGAGTCTTTGTTTCGTAAGACCTTAAATATCTTGATTTTCCCTCGCGGATTACTTTTCTAGGTCGACAACGTCCCGGGCATTCTTTAGGAGGTTTTCGGATGGATCGTTTCGAGAGATTTAAACTATATGTCGTTGATTATTCGCAGAATAAATGGATTTTTGCATTTATATTCTGAAATATTCTCATATTTGAAATTATACAATACCAATATATGGTATTTTGCGATATTTATTTAATAAACGAATCATTTGCAAGTCGTAATTAAACGAAGAACATAAATATAATATTGGAAATAAACGATTGAATGAAGAATATTGTAAATAAATAGAATTCTCGTATCCTCTCTTTTTCGCGTTTATTTATTCATTCTACATAAAAAGTCGCGAACGTAACGCAAACCCATCCGTCGTTCATAAAAATGAAACAACGGCGCGCCGAACGATCCCCGAAACTGTGTCGTTACAAATAAGAGAAAAAAAAACAGAAAAGTTTTATTCGTTCTAATGAACACCAAGTTAGAAAGAGCTGATTTTTCTTTCCTCTTTGCAGCTTTTCTTTTTCGCTTAGCCCCCGGCATCGCTCTATCGCCCGTCTTACTTCCGGAAGAAGATTCTTTTTGGTCTGTTTGTGCACGTTCGTGCAGGCGTTTCTTAATCACTTTGAAGTCGCTCTCGAAATCTGTTCGTTCCACAAGTGTGGCGATAAAAAAAGACTTCTCATTAACAAACCGCATGTAAACCAAATCCCGTGTAGTCTTGCGGGGAACACTTTGAAAATCGTCTGGTGCGCTTTCCTTTCCCGCTTGCTTGCTTCTTTTTTACACGTAACCATTTCGCCAAAGTATCTCCGCGGCGCTATTAAATGTTACACGAAAGACTGAATAATATATAGCTATAACATAGCAGAGAGCTAAATCGTCAAGTTCTAAATATATTTTGCATTATTAATAAATCGGTAAATGATCAATACATATTTGTGACTCCCTTTGTACATTATGCATATAATGCAGCCTGTTATGAAACAATACTGTACTGGTATCAGAATTCATCCTCCCATTTACAGACACGATTACCTATGTACGAATCATCGGATCTTTTGTAGTATAGCATTGTCGGTATAGTATTGTCCCATTTTGATGGTATAAGTTAACAAAAATATAATTTTGTGCGTAAAACTAATTTTTCTAACGAGCGATGTACTTCCAGGGAATACCGACGCTGATCATCGCAATATCCGGAATCGACGATGCGGTGTCCGTCGCGGTCTTCGGTATCGTGAAGAGCGTCATGTTTTCTGACGGCGCGTTGTGGTATCAGATCCTTCAGGGCCCCATTGCGGTTATCGGCGGTCTGGGATTCGGCGTCATGTGGGGCTGGTTGGCCAAATACGTGCCGGAAAAGGGCGACGTAAGTACTTTCTTTACAGCCGGAAAACTGCATTGAGAATTACGATTTTGCGAAGCCACGTTTCTGCGGCCGTGTTCGGAACGCGGGTGTGTCGGGGGGGAGGGGGGCGGAGGCACGAACGAGAGTTTTTACAAGAGGGAAAGAGGGAAAAAGAATTACTTACTCTCGGGCGCATCGGACACCAGAGTGGCGGCGCGCGCGGCGCGGAGGGATGTTGGAGTCTCTGCACCATGTCGCAGATGCGTTTTGAACGTTCTCCTTAAATTGCAACCTTATTGCCGCCGTTCGCAAGTTATGTCGGCCGCGGTGAGCGCGGTAAAACGTGCCTTCGCGGAAGAAGCGGGCTAAAGTTTGCGATATACGTAACACGGCGGCGGTATATATTTTCCGCTATCCTTGAAATTTTCCCACTGTTCGATTCTTGAAGTACGCGTGCGAAGAATACGGACGATATTGATATGATTTAAAAAATAAAATGACAGTATCGGTCTTTTTAAAATTTCGAAAGTAGAAAACTAGTCGATTAAGCCCGGCCTCTTTGTAGCTTCGCACGATGGAAATCGTTCGTGAAATTATCGTACTTTACATTATAATCATACGTCTGATTGCGCGAGATCGCAAATTGACTGTTCCAGCGCGAGATATAAGAATAAAGGGTTGCGGCGGAAATAGGGTCAACCGATGGGGAGTCGTTCACCCCGCGCCGCCACCGCCGCGCGATGAATCTCCCTCGCGCCCGCACTAGATTTCGCTGCATACCGCGAAAGCACTCGCGGGAATAGAGCACATGAGCGCAAATCCGAATAAATCTACTATCGCCGGATAAATCCACTTATGCGGTTATCGTCTGGCCGTGAAAATCCTGTAAACACTTTATGAATTGTGGAGATCTCGTGTACCGGAGATCCCTGCAAACTGTCGAGTATCTTTCGCTGGCAAAAAAACGTTTACATTTTCTCGACGGCACTTTAAACGGGTTTAATCGTCCTCGAAATTCTTAGTGATTTTCCAAAGAATTTTAAAATAGCTCTAATAAAATTAAAGCACTTCTTCGGACACTTTTTCCCCGAATGATTTTCATTCTATAGATATCTTTGCCCTTTTTCGTGACATTCGCCTTATGGCATTTGTGGCATTCTATAAATTTCGAAGTCTAATTCCGGAGAATACGCGTTCATATTTAATGTAAAAATTGAGAGGTAATTTATAATTAGCTTTGCACAAATAAAGCCGCCCTCGATGAGTTGTGAGCGAAGGACGCCCGAAGTTAGAATTAGTTCTCAGCTGGAAGATGCGACTGAAATAGCAACGTATTTTTTTTAGTACTGCGTATGTTGCATTTTTTAACGATACGATTATTTTTCGACGGTGCACATTGAACCCCTTATACGTGAGAAAATCGTTGCATCGACATCGACGATCTTCCGGCGATACCAGCGTTTTCCTTCATTGATCGATTGAAAGATTTGAAATTCAATTGAATTCGCCCGAAGACCTCGGGGGAGGCTTTGGGGAACGTCGGTTTTAGGTGAATTAAATGTCGGTGCGCGCGCGCGGATTCGGGATGCGAGGGGGGAAGCGCTCGACGAGCGCTGCACGGCTACTGCATCGCCACTTCATCGTATCTAAAGTATCGTTCACGTGAGGATTAGCGCCGTTGCACTGCGGCGGTGGTTGCAGTATTCTTAGCTCGCTGTAACCTGATTTATCCCGGTTTCGGATAAACTTAAGCTGTTACAACGTGCACCAGGTCAAGATAGAACGTATTTTTAGAGGAATGCACTTCGGAGCTGCCGCTCCGTTCGCGAATTGCTGTTTATACCTCGGTTGCCCGCTAAGTTTAACATCAACTTCTGGGCCAAACACTCCCTTAACACGGAAAATCGATCTCTTAATTTCCAACATCCATTATACTTATATATTAATAAGGTTTCTTTATATTAGTAATATAAGCATGCGAGAAGCTCTTGATAGTCTGTTTGAACATTCAAAGCGCATTACGAGCTCATACAGCAGCCCCCTTGACGCTGCCTAATTACGTCATTTACTCTTATATCAAGCGTGTATATATCAAAAGGGGAGGAGGCCCATATTTCGAAACTTATCTCTCGTAATGAAACCGATAAATCACTTCGTAATCGTGACGCCGCGTTTTCTATTAGGTCCTAACGCTTCGTTTATGTGCTAATGTTGCAGCCCTTCATAGTGCCGCTAAGAGTGCTGATGTTACTCGGGGGCGGGCTGCTGGCGATCTTCGGCAGCGACGCAATCGAGCTCGGTGGTGCCGGGCCGCTCGCGGTCGTGGCTGCAGCCTTCGTCAGCTGCTACTTTTGGCAACAAGAAGGCTGGGACGTGGACGATGTAAGTACACAGATTTATAATGTATACGGTCGTAAAACTTGTACGGGAGTTGTACTAATCCGGCGAACGAGTTGCCGGAGAAGAAATTCGCATGAAATCCCACACGCGCGAATTCCACGTGCACCACGTGGCATTAAATAGCAGCTTCAACTCTCGCAGAGCGCATTAATATATAATATATATTATATTAAATTGCCAGTTGCGATATGATTTTAAATTTCATTATAAAAAACCCCGACAGATTTCGATGATCTAACGGGTAAAAAACGATATACGTTCGAGGATATTTTGAATGGAAAACTCGCAATTCCAATCTAAGTACGAGGGATATTAAATATGTAATTTCTCGACGGAAGAGAAAGAGATGTATCGGCGACGGAAGGAGGTGCCTGCACACTCTCCTGGCCCAATAATCTCGTGAAATATTCAAGCCGACGTATCGTTCGGCGGGATGCGGATTGGGAGTCAACTGGCTCGTTCCTATTTCCGCATCGCGTCGTCGCATTCCCCGCTGTCGACGGTACGGCGGTGCGACGGTGCAGCGGTAGCGGCGCCGACACGTTCTTTCGCACGCGTTTCGTGACGTGACTGTAACCAGCATCTGTCGATATTACCGCCGTATGATATGCACGTCGTATGTCGCACGCCAGCATAATTTATCCCGGCTAGATTAATTACTACGGAACAATCGCGCGACAAGGCGGCGACAGTAAAAGCCCTTTTGTCTCAAATAATGAAATAATTCATTCGATAAAACATTTCCCTTTTCGGATACTATACGATTAGCCGTAATTACATGCATAAAATCAAATATAATTAAATATAACTTTGTCACCTTTTCGCAAAGGTTCATTCGATTAAATTTGATTAAATTATAATTATACGTATGTAATTATATTTTAATTTTGATCTATAAAGTTAAATATGGTGAGATGTAATTTGATCATTAAAAACTGTTGTTTTTTTTTCTGAGAAATAATAAATTAATATACCCCTATTTTTCTGTTTTAAGAAATAATAAATTAATATATACTTCTCTGCGTTTTAATATATTAACTACACGATAAAAAACATTTTGTATTTCTGTATAAACAGCCCCCATTCAAGCCCTTGTTAAAATTTTGTGTTGACATTTTTACCATATTCAAGTATTAATTTAATACAATCATGTTATTTCAATATTTTGTGTTAAACTATTCAGTATTTTTTAGTGTCAAAATAACACAGTTTATGAGTAAGTGAACAAATAATATAAAAATAATGTATTTTAAAACGTAAATTTTAACATAAATAAATAAATCAAAATGAATATACATAATAAAATACGTGTTAATTTAACATAATCGTAAATGTTTATTTCATTGAAAAAATATGCTTTCACAGTTTGCTCACAAATTGGGTCGGTGTTATCAGTGTTACATTTACAAAAATTTGAGTGTACCGTTTGGAACATATGAAATATATTAAATTTAACACAAATTTCCTAACTGTGTTACTTAGCATTATAAGAAAAGCGCTGTGTGAAAAAAAACAAGTGTGTGTTACCTTGTATCTGCAATTTTCTTGTATCTGCGGGGGCATGTTACATGCATTATCCGGAAATTGAAATTAAATTAAATAAATCAATATCGACGAGATTTCCTACGCACCACAGGCGCATGTAAACAATAGCAGTAAATACAAGCTCGCACGCTGCGTGAACTCTGAATATTCTGCATTTCCATGCAACGCTGGAAGATTTCCATATCCCGATATCGAGCGCAATGGACAATGCGATGTGAGATATCATCGCCGAATACCGAATCGGTTCTCCTTTAGAGGAAAATTTGTGGAAAATGTCATTGTACTCGTGGCGTTTTAACATCTAGCGTTGCGCGTACCTCGGGCAAATCGAATTAAAATTGTTGTTGTTATTACCCTTTTGCTTCGTTCGTTGAATATTACTCTTTCGGGATTTAGATATTAAAGGAAATATAGAAATAAAACAATAATTGGCTTATTTGTAATTCTACAAATGGAAATCGGACCGAGATTTTGTGCAACCGAGAATTGCAAGTAAAAATTTTATGTCCGTAAATTCAAGCGTGTGCGATCGTGATCGTTCACATATATATCTTTTCCTTTTCTTTCTTTGACAGAATCCGGTTGCCACGTCTTTCGAGATCTTCTGGATGATATTCGAACCGATCTTGTTCGGCGTTACCGGCACGCAGATCAAGATCAATGAGCTCGAAGGAAAAATCGTATACCTCGGACTAGGCTGTTTGATTTCCGCAATCGTCATTCGTATCGGAGTGACGATACTGGTCGGGATCGGCTCCAAGCTCAATCTCAAGGAAAAGGTGTTCATCGCTCTGTCGTTGATGGCCAAGGCGACCGTGCAGGCGGCCCTGGGACCCGTCGCCCTCGACGAGGTCGACAAGAACGATCAGCAGCAGGTCGAGTACGCCGAGAGGGTGCTGATGATGTGCGTGCTCTCGGTACTTTTGACCGCGCCGACGAGCGCCATCCTCATCACGCTCTCGGGGCCGAAGCTGCTGACGAAGACCACCACGCCGGTCAGCCCGCCGGAAGCTTGGAAAACGCGCAGACCGTCGATTCGCGACATTTCGATCATCAACGAGGACCCGGATCTGGAGGAGACCGCGAACGAGAGGAAGCCCTGACGACCGCATGTAATTTCGCATTCAAAGCTCAGCTAGTACGAGTCCGCCCTCATTCCCCGGCATGCCCCGAAAGTGCCTGAATGTGCCTTTATTTTAGCTACTCGAGGCAACGACTTAACGAGTCAATTATAGGCTTATATGGTTACTGCTGCGATATTACTCGACCAGGAGGTTTTTAATGTCAGCCGATTTATATCTCAGGTGCTCACACGACGGTCGAAAATGAAGTGATCGCTGCGATATCACAGCTGGAACTTTTATCCCGCGAAGAGATTTTATTCAACTTGACATTAGAGATCGTCGGTGTCGTTATACTTTAAGTCTGGAGAAGCGATCGAATTTAAAAACGATGATTCTGGTTTATGCAAAAATTCTTCGTATGAAATGAGAGGACGATCGATAATTGGCCGTATCTTGCATCTGTATAATAAGACGCAGAGATTGTATTTATTTAAGGATTTTATGATCTTAGGATTTGGGAGTTCGTAAAACCGTAAATAAAGAGAAGTTTCATGGATGCCTCCCGTGATCTTGAAACTTATACTATGCGCGTGCGCGCGTGCGCGCGCGCGCAACTTGTTGACGAATTTATAATTATATTTATTTATAATTATAATTATACATTTTATTATACATTATTATAATAACTTTAATTATAATAATGTCCACGTCATTTCTTTTCTCGATCACTCTATTTTAAGCACAGGAATCTATTAGCGAGACTCTTGCTAATTATTACACTTAGTACGTTCTTTTAATGAATTCATTGTGCCGATATTGACCTCGTGGTGTTTTTAAATAAAAAGAAAAAAAAGGAGAACAGAGATTGTGCTGCAGATGAGATACATCTATGTGCTAGTGACAATTTAATTATCGATAACACGTAGAAATTTTATTGATTCATTCGTTACTCAACATTAATTTTTATAGGTAATTTGCGTTAATTGCGCAAGAAAATTATTTGTTGAACGACAGGTTACCATGTGACACGCGAAGACATTTTTGTAATAAATACCTAATCGAGACGCGACTGTTGCGCTCTAGTTTGCCGTTCATACAATATTATAAGTGATTATGGAAGCTCTAAGAGTGATTGATTTATACAGGTGTTGGTCGGGTTTTATGATTTTAAGTGTGCGTTTGTAGCGGAAAGAAGTGAATTGCGCGAGAGTGCGAGTCTGGCATTAGAATCGCCGGCTATAACAAAGTTATGCCACGTGATAAGTTATCTTAGTCTTTTTCTTAAGGAGTTATTTTTCAGTGAAAGGGGAAAACTGGTTTAAGTTTCTTAGTGGCATAGAGAGTTTATAGTCTTTCGATGGTTCTGGCATTAAGTAGCGCGTGTCTAGGAATACGTCCTGAATACATCCTGGACATATTCTGTATACGTGTAAACAGATATATTGTTGGAAGAAATCATAATTTTACCGTTAAACTCTGTTTAAATATATATTTAAAATAAAAGCAGTTTTTGCTATTTATGGACTTTTTAATATTTATTCGATTCCTATCGATTGCTACCGAAGAAAATAACTGAAGAAAATAACTAATATGCGGTGAAAATAAAATGCAATATTCTAATATATACGCACGAGAAAATATTGCAACGTGTCCTGAGATCGTTTTAAAAAAAAGACAATTTTATTTTTATTATTTTATTATTTTATAATATTATTTGATTTGCTTATCGTCAAGTTAAAAAAAGCAACTTGTTCTAAAAAATATCTCCTAAAATATATTACTATTATATTAACTGTATAAAAAAGTATTTTCTTAACATAAATATACAAGCGCAAAGGAACCATTCATGTTTAAATAATAACATTTTATATACATATTCTTTTCATCTTTACTATAATGTAAATCTAATTTATAATCTAATTTTTGCAAAAATATCATAATTTGTGACGATTAAAGATAATCTAGGATAATCTTCTTTGGTATTCTTGGTGGCCTTTTTTAGTGCAACTAACTGGCAATTGTAAATCTATTTAAAAAAAGAATATTCGCGATACATGTAGATAGAATTTTGTACTATTTTTAGAACTGTAAAAATGTATACTTAGCAGACATTTCTAAGGGACAGGAATAGCAGTTATAATAAGTCCATTATTAAAATACGAGCTAATACAAAAGGAAACTTTACAATCGTATCCCATGTCAATTCATGCCACTATACATAATATTTACGTGTAGCGCCAGATCGTCCAATTGGCAATCACACGCAATTATTCCTCCTGTCGATTAACAACCCTCCTGCTACCAAGAGAATAATAAGATTACAGAATAGCAGATTAATCTTATTTGGAATATAATTCATTCGTAATAACGAACAAAGTTTGTCATTATTATGTGTTATTTATCAAAATATGCTGTAACTGTTAATAAAATATCGATAGCGGGAAGATTTTACTTGTTAGCTGACAAGATTGTGTATTTAAGATAATCACAAATGGGACAGAGCGTGACGCGAGGACACAAGAATATATGGCGAAAAGAAGGAAGACGTAAGTGATTCATAAACAGTCTCAATTATTACCTTACGGCGTCAAACTAATCGCGTAGGTAGTTAACGTACTGCTACTCGCGCTTTTCCTGACTCTATAAGGATCGTACACAGTCGGATTGCCCGTCGGAGTCGGTTTCTTCTTATTGGTATCCAAACCCAATCGTTTGCGAAGCGCTTGGTACACGCGACTCTTCAAGACGAAGAGAATGAAGATCAGTAGACCTTGAAGACAATTGAAGACGTCGCTGGTGTAGAAAAACACGTGGTGCCAGTGCGCGTGATCTAAATATTTTATCAGGAAGAACGACACCATCTCGCAGATCCAGGACATTCCCATGACGATGAACAGTTTGACGTTCATGACAAATCTATGAAAGTAATGTGGATACAATTAATAAAATAAAATTTTACATAAAATAAATGATATATAAAGATATTAATAAAAAATACAGATAAAGCAGCGCTCAAGTTCGATAACAATTCTGTTCTAGCTGTATTTACAATATTCCTTGTAGTCGCAATAATAATACAAAAAGAAATGATTTATCACGCGTTTTCCATTTATTGGAAATCATTGGGAAAGCGATTATTTATATATAGCTAGACCGAGCTCTCCAGTGGTTGTTTGCAAAAATGCGTAACCGGATAACTAACCGACTACTCATAACAGAAGTCATTGATGTATAAAGAAAACGCGCTTCCGAACACGCACGACTTTATTACCGCGCTTCTAATTTTAGTTTTAAATAGGGAGTGATTTTCGCGTTTTTGCGTAGGTTGTGCTAGAATGAGATTTCGAGGAAGGCATTAAAAGTCCCGAAATGACGCACGTGCTCAAAATTTACGTGCGTTAACCGCAAAGTATCTTTTTCCATTTACAATTGTCATAAAAAAAAAAACAAGGAAATGATCATTTCTGCTGAGCTGGCGAAAAAGCACTCACCTCTTTCTGTCGGAACGAAATCGTTTGCTTCTGGGATCCGCGGGGTCCGCAGTCACTCTTTTTATCTCCGCTTTCACCTTATTGCAGTGTATCGACGTGAGAACGAAGAACACCACGTTGGATATCAGCATAATCATTACTGGTCCGATGAAGAAAATTAATTCACCGTACGCATCCCGTAATTCTGCAATTGATTTGATTAAAATATAAGTGTTATGTTCGGTGGACTTCACGATTTTTTCGTTTCGTGGACACGTGGTAGAATAAATTGTTACAGTAAAAAACAAATATTAATGGTTATCAATTGACAGATACATCGACCCAACAAAATTGGCTACGTTGTTTTCCTTGGGAAAAATTTATTTCAAGTAAATATTATACGACCGAATATGAGAAATCTTTATAACGAAAAGGTTTTGAAAACAGATAAGTTGTATCTTGCCATATATAACTTGTCCGCGACGGAAAAGTCTAATTTTGAAATGTGTCCAAGAATTCTATCTCCAAAAAACTAATAGATAAACATTGCCTAGGCATGTTGGGACTGGAGTCGCGACAGAGCTATAAAGATAATAATGCATATACTGCCACGTACATACAATAAAATTCGATTTCGAAACGTGCTCGAAATTTCAAATTCTGTAGATAAAAATAATAAATAAACACAGCCCAGACATGTTAGAGATTGAGCCATGACGATGTCATAAAACTTTATCAAGGGATGAGATAACCCTTCGGCAAAAAAAATAATTTATCTTATTTCAAACAGATAACCCAGGTTGGGTTATCGGTTTGAAATAAGATAAATTCTTAAAGCTTATTCATTGGTGAATCACCTTAGACGTTTCACCGATTTTTTAGGTTTCGCATCTTGCTATTGGTGGGTCTTTGTTTTTTCTTTATCAAGGGATGAGATAATCCTCCGGCAGTAAAAATAATTTATCTTATTTCAAACCGATAACCCAGGTTGGGTCTTTTTTCTACCGGAGGGTTATCTCATCCCTTGATAAAGAAAAAACAGAGACCCATTAATAACAAGATGCGAAACCTAAAAAATCGGTGAAACGTCTAAGGTGATTCACCAATGAATAAGCTTTAAGAATTTATCTTATTTCAAACCGATAACCCAACCTGGGTTATCGGTTTGAAATAAGATAAATTATTTTTTCTGCCGGAGGGTTATCTCATCCCTTGATAAAAAAAAAACAGACCCACCAATAGCAAGATGCGAAACATAAAAAATCGGTGAAACGTCTAAGGTGATTCACCAATGAATAAGCTTTAAGAATTGATAATCGTAGGACGGGCGGAGTGATCCCGAATCAAATCTTCCAATCAAACCTTAACTTTCTCAACTTGACACATCCCACATCCCATGAGATTTCCTATATAAACCGGGACATTCCCGGGACCTTCCTCAAAATCAGAGTCAGAGTCAGAGAGTCAGCCTGCATAGTCAGAATCCTTCGTTATATCCTCCCACAATGGAAAATTTCTTGACAAGTTAGAATCTGTGCGCAGTTTAACTTCGAGTGCCGTCAATGTTTTTTAGAAGTCTCAGCCGTAAGGGGTACATCAATTACAACATCCAACTCTCACCAAAATGTAAGTCTCGTTTTTCTTATTTTTAATTTCTTTCGAGTCTGAATTCTAATATTGTTCAAACACATTCACTCCCTCGTCCATATCATTAAGCCTTTTAATCTCTAACGCGGTATCTCTAAATGTATAATATTTCTAATTGTATTTTTAAAATTAAATAATTTTTATTTGATCGATAATTATTATCTTATCTTTTTAAATTCAAGAAAAACAAAACCAAAAGTTATATTATAAAATCTATATCTATAATTGTTAATCAAGTTGTAATCCCGATCCGAATTATTTTTGTAAGCTCTAGACAATTCTCGTAAAAGTTAGTTATAGTCATAGCATGAAAGACATAGCATTATAATCTTATCGTAACTATAATTTTAAAACTTTAATTTCGTCAACATGAAATTGGTTCAGCTATGTTTCAAATCGCATATTATAATTTTCAAACTTTATTTTTGTCATAATGAAATTTATTAAGCTAGTAATTAGTAATAAATTTAATTGTTATGTTTAATCGCAACTCTCTTTATTTCAACTAAGAGACCTCACCCACGTTCATCCCCTTCCCGTACAGAGAATCGCACAGATCCGATCCTGAGTAATAGGGATTAAGTTCCTTAACTAAAACAGGACCAACGATCGCGCTGGTTTGAGATCGAGTAATAGCGTCCTTTTCAGGAGATTGACTCCGTCAAATCGTACGTACGCCTCCGTGACAGACTATCTCGTTACATCCTTCCATATCCCCTCCCTTCTCTCCAAATATTATCTCGTTTCTAGCGGGACTCCTCCTAATTCTTTCTAAAAAATTGTCCTCCGGAGCTTGGACGTAACAGAAGCTAAAAAATCTAAAAATTAAGGACTCGTCCGGGATGAAAAGTGCGATTCTTTGTGGGCAGGAATGAACACGAGGTCTACATCTCCGATAAGAATGATGATCTTTATAAAACCGCTTTAAAGAGTCAAGGAAAAACTAAACCGCGACATTCAACACACCACACTTCCACTCCCGCTGTATCCTTCGATCCTGTTGTGACAAATAGATTTTTCACTGATTCATCTAAAGTTTTTATTATTCTAAGTATTTCAGTTTTTATTGATGTAACATAAGAAAAACATTCGATTTTTTTCTCGCGTCGCTCTCTGGCAGTCCTAATAGCAGCAGGCCTCATTATGCGAGTACTTTGCGAGTTTTTGTACTTAATATTTTCTTTATTTTTATCTATGTATTTTATTTTCTTTTAAAATATGTAATAAATTAAAATAAGTTAAAATATTAAAAATATTTCATTTTATATAAAGACAATTGTAATATAAATATGAAAATATTATTTTTCCCAAATTTGTATCATTTAATTATACTTTTATTAATAAATAAATTAAATTTTACTTCATGCTAATAAGAAACTGAATTAAAAAATATACACATATAACTCGGTAATAGTTAAGTTTCCGTAAACTTTACCTTCGCTCTGAATCGTAAAGGCTGTTGAGAATTTTTCTTACTTGACCGAGTGCAGTTGCTTTGACGGTATAAATGATACTTATTACGCGAGTAGTTAGTCCAATTGGATTTTATATATCAAGGGGCAATGATGCCTGAATTTGCTTTAGAGCACGATCAATACGATTGCTCGAGAAAGTTTTTAATTATCGGATAATTGCGCGGCGCGACGATAGAAAGAAAACTTTACGTTTGCCTTCCCCTTCGATACGGTCAACTTTGAACGCCAAATGAAAATTTTCCGGCTGGCAATTCATCTTGTACCAATTCGCAGCCTCATCTATTTCCGATGTATAAATTATAATAGTGAAGAGGCGCGAAGAAACAACCAACGCATCGCGCCAAGTCAGCTTTTGTTGTAACGAGAAATCGCGGCAATCTTTCCGAGAACGCCATAATTAGCATTGACAAATTTGCATTACATCATCACTAGACAACAGTTATCGCTTGTAAGACTTGTAAGTGACTCACGCATAAACCAACAGCTGTTAATGCCTATATTGGGCATCAAATAGTCCGGCAGGATATCCGTGATGTCGGAAGTGATAGCGAGGATTAACACCAGGAAGGAGAGGCCCCACGTATACAAACAGTATAACAGAAACTTTTTCCTATCCTCGCGCGCCTTCGTCATGGTACTCCCGCGCAAAACTCTGCGAAGAAGATAAATTACCATTATCTTATTTGTTAAGAAGTAATGCGACGTATGCAATTGTTGAGAACAATGTAATCCCGAGCATGCTAAAAAAAAACTCCGATATTCATTCCGAGTGTGCTTCTTAAGATGACGCTTTCAATATTAATTGAGCGATGAGAAAGAACTAAAACTGATGATGAGGCATGCGAGTGATATTCAAGTGTCAGAAAGGATTGAAGCGCACGATCCGCTTCATTACGACGAAGTCGTTCGTTATTCCAGAAAGTCCATCGATTTGGGACTCACGGTCGTAAAATTCCGCGAATGCCATATGAATATTACATAATTTATTTTTCGATTCGCGGGGAATGAACGTCATAAAAAAAAAAAATATGTAAGAAGCGGACGTACTCGTGGAATTTCGAGAGAGCGCGAGCCAACCCGGCAGCATTTAAAATGTTATACCGGCATCGTCGTCGCCGCTACATGTGGAAATCTATTTTCTCCGTATATTTACAAATCCCCCAGCTAGAATAGCGTCTTGAACACACAAACGTTCGTAACCGGCGAGAAACGACAAGATATGCCCAGTTCCGAGCAATCGTCAGGTCGCTCTTGGATAGGGCACAAAGTGTCCCGAAGTTATTTTTTTTTTTGCTTAACAAAAATGCGAGGATTTATTTTCTCGAGTTATATCGCGTCGATACTTCTACGTGATACATCCCGATTGTAATGTTGATCTACTAAAAGAATGTGAATTAAAAATATTTAGTAAAAAAAAATAATTTTTTCTTCTGGGAGTTACAGATTCCTCGATTTAAATGCTCTGTGAAATGAATACTTTCCTGCGTGTTATGCATATAATGTCGGCGCTATATAGAACGCGTTGAGTCATTTCGGTGTTTAATGTTTGACAGTGTATATTTTTTTTTTTTCGTACCCGGCATACGTAGAACGCAATGAATTCGTGAATAGGCGTACACAGACGGGGGCGTTCACAATGACGGAGGAATTAATGAGAACCGACAAGACGTCGATGAGACATTCTACCGGTTCTACGAAAGGTCAACGAGAGGCAATTGAGATAACATCGAGATACAACCATCGGATAAATGAGAAGGTGCAATTTTACGCGATCATAAACTTAATAAGATTATTAAAAGAGAACCGACTAATTCATCGGTCGGTTATCAAAGATATGATTATTGATTTTCCACCCGAGAAAATTGTTACACCGCCCTCATTCACCTAATCTTATCTCTTCAATCATCCCATTTGACCCGATCGCGCGTAATCGCGTCATACCCGACTTACCCGAAGGTCCACCATATGTCGAAGCACATGACGTTGAGCCAGGAAAACGCCGATAGAAAAGAAAAAAGCATGGTGTAACCTGGAAAAAACATTTTCTTTTTTTTTTTTTTCGTTTCCTCAACGTCGTTCGTACATATACATATATGCGAAAATATTTTCTGATATAAGGTATATCCGCGTGCGAACCTAAGGTTTTGCACGCCGTCGCATATTGTTTTGCAGTCGCGTCGCTGGAGATCCAAGTGATGATGGACAAGCAGATGAAGGCCACGAGGAGGCTGCTCACGTGGCACATGAGCGTTTTACCGTGAAGATTCTGCAGACTCGGCAGGCACGCGTACACCAGCAAGGTCATCAGCAGGAAAGCGCAGCTGACGATCTGCAGGGCGGTGTTCATCCGATACCTGTCAGCGAGAAATGCATTTCGCGTTTCATATTTTGCTGGGTCCGCACATAACACGTGCGCGACGCATATTTAGTTTATTCGGCTCGTAAGACCGGAACCCGACCGTTATTTTCATCAATTTCGTACAGACATTGATAAACGCCTCACTCTCTCTCTCTTTGCGCGCACCGCGCGTATACAACTAAAACGCTTACAGCTCTCGAATACCGGGCAACATCTATATTGTGCCGGCGCGCCGGTACGCTATAGTTTGTTTGACTTCGCCAAGTTTAAACAAATCAAGTCTGCCGAGTTTCACCAAATTTGACGAGAATTTGCGGTGGGAGAAACGGGAGCCGGAACGCATAGAAATGTCCACAGCGTCAATAGAGGGATCTAACGCGATGCATTCTCTACTTTAATTCCCTCCCTCCAACTCAATCCGAACTCGTACTTTTCCGAAGCAACTTTCCCGATATTGTAAAGCATTTCGGCAATATTCACGCTCGATGCAATCTCTCTGTTACCGAATACATCTACGTTACCGAAAACATTAACTAAATATTACAGTAACATTAGCTAAAAATGAAGATGAATAGATACTACAGATACGCAAGTGTGATTATTGCACAGTTACAATACACTTTACAACTGAAAAAAAATAGAAAATAATTTACCTTACTGAAACATCGGTTGTCGGTGGATGATCGAAACATGCGAACAAATAAAAGCTATTCTCGAATTCCGATATGTTGTAAAAGACGTCCATGCAGTACTTGTTCAGATCGTGTACGGTATAATCTTCGATAAAAACGTGTCCCTCTGACGTCAGGAGCCATTCTTCCTCCCTCGGATCCATGGGATACATGCCGTACTTACACGGCTTCCCAATCAAGACTCCGTAGTCTAAGCAATCAGAGGAGAAGTCTATTAACCCTCTGTTCCTCCATAGTAGGATTCTCATCGACAACTTGTTACAACTTGTTAATTGTCATTGATTATCAATGAATTTCAAATAAGCAGTTAAATAGACAGTTAAATGTCTTTCTTGGAAAGAGCGTTTAAATCTTATTATTAAAAAAAGAACCTTTAGTCGTGCTGAAAGCGGACGAATTCGTTTGATTTACGGCGTTTGCGAGGGCCTCGTGAAACTCTATCCGTTCGTCGGGTACAGCGAGTTTATTGCATCCCCGGGCGTAAAAGAACTCATTTTCGGCGCAGCACTTTCTGATGCAGGCGTGCCCGTCGCAGAATTCCGGATCTCTGCAGACGCGCGCCACCAATGTTCGATCAGACGCAGAATCCGGCGTCATCTCGAGACAAGCGTTACCCTCGGTAACCGAAAGTTCCTCTTTGACGATTCGATTCTTGAACGTTGGAACCATCACCTGCCAAGGTTATTCGATTCATGATAACGTTGCTTTCAGTAAAATATTGCTTTTGTGAAATATTCTTCAGGATAAACATGTGATAAGTTTTCAGACAAAAATCATAAAATAAAAAACACATAAAAAATATCGTGGACATCTTTTGTTCAAAATAGGATTCTTTACATTTACGCCGTTCTGCTCTCGTTTTCAACCTTTGCATTGTCGACTATTTTGTAATCATTTTCAGTTGGTCGGTCACAGCAATTCGAATTATTTCTCGAATATTGTCGAAAGGCTTTAAAAAAAATGTCGTAATCTCATCCACTTTACTCTCTTGACTGTTTCTCCTCCCTTTGACTGTTTCTCGTTTCCGAAATTGGAATTGTAGTTAAAAGATCAAAGATTCGATATTCCAGCAAATCAAACCGCTGCGCGCTGTGACCGACCAACTGAAAACTATTATACAAAAGAAGAATAGTCAACGGCGATTCAAAGATTGAAAACGAGAACAGAACGGCGTATTGTAAAGGATCCTGTTTTAATCCTATTTTGATAAAAAAAATGTTTAAATATTTCTCTGACACTTTCTTTATTTTATATGATTTTTATTTCAAAATTTATGGGCCGCTCTGTATATTAATCTTATAATATTTTAATTATAGTTAATATTATTATACATTGTTCATTTTTATTGCTTGATAAAATAAAATTCTTAAGATATCTGAAATAATAACTTATGAATGAAGGGATATGCAACTGTAAAAAGCTTGGAATCTTAGAAGTTAATTTTAGACTTGCTCACCGAATATATATTATTCCGCACGAAGACATCGCTTTCGTCAATCTTATAATCAACGATCGGGCCCCTGCATGTGGGTGGACTTTCGCTAGCTACCACCACAAAGTCTACGTTAGCCGATTTATTTAGCAAAAATGCTACGAGACTCTCCGATTCACTTAACCGGGACACACAAGCCTTTGTGCGGCTGTCGAATATTGTATTGCGAGGGCAACATTTTCTGACGTATGCTAGCTGCGGAAAGGATGCGGTAATCGCTTTCACCCGCCGATCTTTGTTCGATCGGCAATGAACGACTATTACGGCGCTCTCACCGGTTACTTGCTCGTGAAGTATCTCGAGGCAAGCTGGCATCTACAAACAGTTTATCAAATTGATAAACAAGGATCATATGTTTGTATGCAATGCTATATTTTTAAACCTGCCGTTTCGCATCAATCAATTATGTAATTGGGATGGCATGTACACTCTCAATTGTATCACGTAACGATAATAATTATCATAAGAATACCACCCAGAGAAATTTCAAGTGTAAAAGTATGTTTCTTTTTTTTTATGTAAGTGAATATGTGAATTGCAAGTTTTCGCTACTATTTTCCTATCTTATCTATTTTTTAGAAAAAATAAACGTAAAATGAGATGTTTTAATTGAAATTTCTTCTATTTTCAAAAAATTAAAATATTTCTTTACATAAATATGTTTCTATTTGTTTACTCTTTGCTTACTCATGTTTCATTTTCATTTGTAAATGTTTGCTAAAATATGCGACGCACCCAAATACACTCGGGCAAATTAAAGAATGATTAATATTTGGAGTAGTGGTTGATATTTTGATTAAAAAATTGAGAATTAGCAAAATGAAAATTAGCAAATTATCAATTAGCATTACATTACATTAGTACACTACATTAATAACATTAGTATATTAATTTACATAATTAAAGATAAATGAGAAGTATTATAAAAGTATTTAGTATTATTTAATTGTAAAAGATCGTATTTTCTGTTCTATTATGTGTTCCATCATAAGTTTTTATATTATACATGTTATTAAAAACGCGTTTTTCTTTTTATTTTTTTATTGAAAATTCTTTTTGACTTCTACCTTGTCAGTTGTCAAGCACCAAAATATCGCGATCTTTTATTTTAACGATAAAAATGAAGAAGATTAAGGAAAAATTAAAAATAAATGAAAAGTTGATTATTATTACTGTATCGAAAAGGATTGTATTCTCTGTTTTATTAAGTTTTCTATCGTAAATTTTTATTAAGCATCTTATTAAAAATACGTTTCTCTTTCTACTTCCTTATTGAAGACACTTGACTTCTGTCACGTCAATCAAGACATCGCAGTCTTATGTTAGTTAAAGATAAAGAAGATCAATTTAACAATCACACAATTTACCTCCAAGAAGTAGTTGGAATCGAGATCGTCGAGCGGCGTTGTCATAATATCCTCGGGTTCGTCGCACTGAGGAATCCCTTGAAACCCCGCGGTGGTGTTCCAATGGCGAGCATAAAGCTTCATCGCGTTCGGTACTGGAACGCATTCTACGACCGAGCGTCCCGAGAAGATCTCTCCTGGCGGGCAACATTTCGTCAGGTGCGATTCCGACGGTACTCCAGTCGAGAATAATACCAGACCGAGCAAAACGAACCTCGTCGTTGACATAGTTGTGTAAAAATATAATTACTCGTGTATCTCATGCAAACAATCTCTTCCCATTATCCCTTGTCCGAACATCGCTTGATGTTACGTTCCAAATTGCCACTCCCCGATTATTTATATGTCGTTACTTTGCGGCTACATCACGAAACTGCAGCTCTAATTTTGTTTTTTATGCTCTTTTTTCGCGTCTTTTTTTCCTCTCTGTATATTCTATTTCAGTTTCTATGAAAATATAATTCGCACGTGTTGTCGATTAATACGGGCAATCTCTCGCGTCGCTCCCTTTTCCCTTCTTCAGAAAAAAGTCCTTCAGATTTTCCTCTCTGCTGTCAGATTATTTTAAATAGAATTTAAGCCAAGTTTCTTTAAGTACGTGTATAAATCTGTCTTGTAAAGATTCTTTCGTGCAGGTTTTATGCTCAATTAAATTAATACTTGCTTGTACTCGATTTTACTTCTTTGTTCGTGACTCGCTTTTCCTTTTGCCTTAAATTGCATTCATGTCAGCTGATTCGGACAGCTGGCATACGTCCATGTGAATGCTATTAAATATTTAAGCGGAACGGAAATAGTTGTTATCCGTTTAACGATAGCTTGCATTACTGTCCTTCCATTTGAATTGTCCTACGTAGAATTTACCACCGCTACAATTTTAAATCGGATTATACAATGTCCGATATGAATTTATAATTATATAACACGTGATTATTAAAATTTTAAAACGAAGAGTCTTTAACATTTATTAATTTTTTTAAAGTAAGTTAGAGATTGTTTTTAGATATTTATAAATTATAACACTTTTACAAGTCGAATCTTTGTACATCTTTTCTTTTTTAAATTCACTTATTTCACATGTGTGTAGAAAAATCTACAGATAAGAATCTATTTAACGTAAACGCAGTAAAAATGCAGTTCATTAATCAAATCACTTGTTCGCCCTTAGCGCTCGACTGAAAAATTACAATCCGACTCGCCCAGCTCCTCTTCCTATTTACCAAACCTTTTGTCTTCCTCGAGTGAAGTTAAACAGCAACACCCACGCCATCCGTGCACTCGATCGAATTATTGTGTCGTCTCTGTAAATAATCAAGAACACTCTCGGCCAATCGATTTTACAACATTGCCCTGCCCGGTACTATTAACGTGATTATCCTTCGGCATTCGCGAAGCGCGTGCGGCGTACGCGAACGCGCGGCTGGAACTGCCGTTCACACGTACGCGCTTCTCCACGCGACGTATCCGAACAGATCAGCGAGAAAAAGGGAAACGAATGAGACGCTTCAACTGTAACGCCTCGGCATAACACTGGATGCACCGAGAAACGTTGCGCGATGAGGATGCCACTTCCACGACTGCGTCGATCTTTTATCTTTCTCTTTTCTTCGCGCCTCTTCTTTTCTCTCTCTCTCTCTCTCTCTCTCTCTCTTTCTCTTTTTTCATTCTTTCTCTTTTCGGTCATTCCGCTCATTTACATACACACACACACAAAGTTTTTTTTTCTCCCTTTCCGTTTCTTTTTCCCTCTATGAGGGAATCCTACTACTACTAAGTATCTTACTACTACCTTTCTTTTTTTAAAATACTTCAAATTCCCCGAGTTTTTACTTGTCATGTGTCTGCATCTGTCTACTTTAACGTTCCCTTAAAAGGGGAAGGATCTTAGACCATTATAGCCTGAGAGTTTTCCAGAGATTTCTTCGTGAAACGACGTTGTCTCGACAAAAATGCTTCTATTCTATAATTCCGTCGTCAAATATTTGTAATATCCCCGATAATTATTATTATTTTCAGGATACTTTTCAGGATGCAGGAATGACAAGCTATTACTCCTTTTTTGTAAAACTGATATAATAAATAAATGACGATGTTATTGCAGATCTAAAATGTAACGTGTTTAAAAAGTTCAAATAATAACAAACAAAAAAAATTTTAGAGAATTAAAAAAATTATTTAAATTTAATTATCAGACAAATTATCTTTCTAATATAAAGTATTGATAAACAAATTCTTATAATGTCAAAAGGAAAACAATTTACTATTATAAAAATTTATCCTAATTTATGTTGTTTCCTAGAATTAAATTAATGATTAGATATTGTTAGGAAGATTTAAAAAGTAAGACAATTGAGAGAAAATCTAAAATCTCTTGAATCTATTCTGTTTTAATATTTCGATACATACAATATTCTTCTAATTCCACACAATGAAACTTCTTATGGCAATATTTTCAATTTTTATTTTTTAAGAAAAATATATATAACCGTGAGATTTTTGCAGATTTTCTAATGTCAAATTTCCAATAAAATGTTTAAGAAATTATACTAATTCCAAAATTTTTCACTATTTAAAGCATGATTAAAATCTGTGATTAATTTCAATTAGCGATTATAATTTATCAAATAATATATGTTATATTGAATTAAACATAGATAGAATTATTTATTTTTTGCTGTTTAATACATGAAAACCATTGTAATTAATTCCCATTCTGCTTATTCACAATAAGATAACAGCTATTTAGTTTCAGTAATTCTCAATGTTATGCTATATATAATAAGTTTGTGGCGGTTCCCCGCTCAACCAAGAATACAAAAAAAAAACACGCATATAAACACGCTATCGCCAAAAGTTTAAAACAAATAATTCGAAATCTGTTGTTATATTCAGTATATCATAAGAATTATATTATCGTTATCTGAAAATTTAAGAAAAATTATCGTATTCAAGAACTCTTTAACGTAATACAATTGTCAAAAAATATAATTGTATTTAATTTTAATTAATTCTGATGCTATTGTAAGAAATCAGTACACAATAATGATCGTACACATTTTCTAATTAATATTATTTAAAATTGTTTATAAATATAAATATTTAAACATTGAAAACCTCTTGATATTTTTTTGTAGTTTTTGAAAAATATATTTTTAATTATTTAATAAAGAAATAATATAATACATTATATATTTTTCCTTTTCTAAATTACATAAATAGTGCCTTCAATATTGAGCCACGATACTAATTTACGAAAATAATTTTTTTCTTTTCTTCTTTTTGCTCGTCTCGATTGTTGAAAGGGATCATAGTGGATAATGCTATTGTTGTAGGATATATCGTAATTGTTATGTGAAATTTTTTTCGGTCATATTTAAGCGTTAAAATATATAAAATATATTGTTCGACTTTAAAAAAAAAATGTAGCTAAAACTGATAAAAGACTGATTCAATATCATCAGTTACTGATGCGGCTAATCAGTCCTTTTTCTTTAATTAAGGGGAGAATCATATCTGACAATGATAAATGATTGTTTTATTGTCTAATTAATGCGATCCATTTGTGCGAACCACAACTACTTCGAAGCATATTTGATTGACCAATCAGAAGAAAGAATTTTACTAATCGACCAATCGAAGAATGCCTCGAAGCATTTGTAGCATCAAACAGACCGTAGCCTTGGAACAGTCAGTTTCGTATTTCCTGTAATGAGATACATGTCCACCGATAACTTATCATGCGCAGTGTTTCCCGCCATATCTGTGTCCTTTTGCGCATGCCTAATCACTTTATTCTCGTTGCTATATTGCAGGGAAGAATCATGAAGGCGGTACCACAGTATATATATAACCAGTAGATACAGTCGTGGATACATCGATTGCGACACTTTTTTTTATAGGTTTCTAATATATATTTAATATACATAATAATATATACTTTATAGATAATTAATATATTTTGGAAAAGCGAACCACGATGTACTATCTTTAGTCTACTCTCAGTTCCAATTAATCGATCGATTTGCTGCTTGATTTGAGCGTTTACGTTTTTCTATGTGTTCTTAATTTAAGGAAAAATAAAAAAAATATAAGAAATTGTATACAGTCGCCTATCAAATTCCTTCCAACAATTATATGAGAACTTTTATTTTCCCCTCTTGCCTTCGTAACATTCAATCTGTCGTAACAATATTTATTTCCTCGCTCTATCTATTTGCTCATTCTTACAGCCACTCGGCGCTCGATCGCCGAAATCTGCCGAAAACGTCGCGTCAAATACGTTGCGTTATCCCATATACGCATTTTTAGGTTTACGCTACTGCATACCCTGCCAGCAGCCAGACCCTGCCTGCTGTCAGGATCCTCTGTTCAGGGATTCACGGTATATTATGTTATCTTCTTCTTCTTTTGCAATGGCTATCGCCCCTACCAGGGACCATACAGCCTGATACTATTATAATGACTAAGTGTTGAAACTGAATTGAGGAAATGATGAAATATTGAAATATTAATCGAATGATGTAATACTGAGCCACAGACGTCCATCTCAGTCCATGGCCCATACTCGAAATCCCGTATATTATGTTATACTTGTTTTTCACCGAATGTTAAACAAGGATAAAATGACACCTAGGCGAAGTTTCTGAACACAGCCCTGACTTGCCGCGCGTGCGGCGCATGCGCGAGTAAAGCACGCTATTTAGACATGAAACGCACACCGCCAGCGGTTGAATCCGGCGTTGATAGATGATGTAAATAAACATAGGTGACATTGGGCCCGAAATTGTATTATTTCAATTGAATTCCGCGTCGTGTATTGTGGGAAATTCTCTCCGTCCTCGTCGAATCGAGAAGAGGGAGAGAGAATCTCGCGTGAAGTATGCGGAACCGGCCGAACGTCGGAACCATTACGCGACCGCCCTTTGCGAGGTTAAGACGCAATGGTTAACGCGAGCTTATAGTGGGTGTCGCGTATGAAGAAAAGGAGGGAAATAAGCGCTTTCTTTGTATCCCGGTATTCGCTCCAGTTTCTCGCAGAGATGGATTTTGCTCTAGAACGACTGCACGTGGACAACACGCGCATTATCCTCAGCACGCCCAATCGATCTGTAAGTGATAGATTTACGTCGATCAGATCTACGTCGAATGACTTAAGACTGTTGGTTGAATTCCGATTAATGCGACCGACAATTAATTCATCGATATATACCTGTATGCCGTTTTAAAACACTTTGCCGAACAATCGGATCTGGCGCCACGCCGTTTTTCTGTGACTCTTAATTTGAAGAAGCAGTATTAGAAGAAATTATAAGAGAAAGAAAATGTTCAAGTTGGTTAGAAGCGCTCAGAACGTATAACTCTTGCTGGTGAATTATATGATTGGAAATGTTGCAATAAGCACGTATGTATGATGTATCCTTAATTTCTAACTTCTCTTTTCGCGCAAACAACAAAAGTTTAACAATTCTAACTGTAAGGCCCTTGTCGAATTAGATAGGGCCCACCCTCTATGGTATATTAATCGCAGTATATTAATTCTCGAAAGTGATTTTCGATTGTCGATCGACGGATAAGGCTAGCGATAATTAGGATTTGAAAATTCGGAGCAGAGACAGACTTAGAAGGTTAGAAGTGAGCCAAGTTAGAGGCGGCCATGAGCGAGTAAAGTGCGTTTTGTAAAGGAAAGCGTGCCTGAGCATAAGATATTTAACACTTTATCGAAAGTTATGCTCTAACTAAGCGCTGGACATCGTACAATTTTACTGACCAATGCCCTTGAAAATTTTCTTTTTGTTATAATTTCTTTTAATACTGCTTCTTCAAATTAAGAATCACAGAAGAATGGCGAGATCTACTTGTTAGATCAGCGAAGTGTTAAGGAATATATTGGTATTGATGAATTTATTGTCCAATTAATTGGAATTATCAACAGTCATCAGCATATATATGCTTATTGCAACATTTCCAATTATATAAATAATAATGATAAACATGTATACACATACACACGCACACACACACACACACACACATATATGTTATCTTTAAATTTTTGTTTATTTTAATTTTTTCAGTATACTTGTGGTAGAGCAAGGGAGAATGATATAGTTTGCTTTAGTCTACTTGTATCTCGTAAACATTGTATTTTTCAAAGACATTCTGAGAATTTATACGTCACAGACTTACGGGTATGTATGTATGTAAGTCAATTGTTAATATTTGTACCAATGTATTTGTAATTTGAATAACAATTGATTTTTATTTAGAGTTCAAATGGCATTTTTGTCAATGGAGAAGAAAAACCGAGTATGCAGCTGATCAATCTACGTGAGAACGATCTCGTTGGAATTGGCTGCCCAGAAACAGATATAGAGTTAAATAGTGACACGTTGTATGTTTATAGAGTTCGCATTATTCAGGTAGGATGTTTTCAAAGTGGTATGTAATTGCTTGTTGTAGAAATCTAATGTTTGTTAAATTTTTATCAAATTTTTTTTAGTCACCTGTTCTTCAAGAAGAAGAAGAAGAAGAACGTAGCACCTTATCGAAGACAATTAATTTAAATAACAATACACCACGAGAAGGAACATCTGCCCGTCCCGCGAATTGTTCCTCTAGAAAAAGATACGAACGTAATTCAAATTATGATAAGATGGTGCCAAATAAAAAAGCACACGTTACGTATAATGATGAACGTAACGCTAATGCTAGTTCTTCGAAAGGTAAATTCTTATTTTTCAAACAATACATGAATGAAAAAGAAATATATTTGAAATATTCTGTAATAAATACATTATGTTCTAATAAATCTTTCAATTAATTAAATTTTTCTTGTAGGAATTAATTGTAATTCATCTCGTAATAATCAGACTTCGCATAATAGCAGAAGTATTAATAATTTAGAAAACGAGTGCGATATTATAGATATAACTGCAGACGATGACATTGTAATAATTCATACATCAATAATAAAGGAAGTAAAGGAGAACTTGGATCTGAAATCTGTAAAATATTTAGACGGCGGTAATAATTCAGATTTTGATGAAAAAATGGATATTTCTAGTATTGAGAGTGACAGTGATAATGGCGATGTTAATGACAGAGGTATAAATAAAAATCATATAAGAAAAACGTCATTTAAGAATAACATTAATAAACAAAATGCATTACATTTTACAGAGAATCCAAATTTTACACATACAGATGACCAAATGATTAAGTGCGAAAATGAACTACAACTGACAGATGATGAAGGAGCACATAAGGCAGCTGACAAGCACGGCACCGCTAAGAATAAATCACCAATTAAATTAAAGAAACTAAAACATGAATCGAAAACGCGATTTTCGATTATCGATGTTGTCGATTTGAGTGACGATGAGGAAGGAATATTTCCATGTTCCCAATTATTTGATATCAAATACGAAGATAATACGGAAAATAGAACGGAGATTAAGCAAGAATATATTGATAATGAATATGATGAGCGAAACACCGAAAATATTGGCCTGCTAAACGTCGACGATGAGGTCATTATTTTAACGGACAGTGAAGATGAGGATAATCCTTGGTTGGAACGACTATCTAGAAGTCAGTTACTTAACGAGGATATAAAACCTGCCGTGAGTGACGCGATCATAAAAGATGAAATCGATTTGGGTATATGGGATGATGAATTTGAACAATCCGAGATACCATATACTTCTAAGGCTTCTTGTAGTAAAGAAATTCCTTCATTACGTCCAAGCGTCATTGTTGAAACTAAAAAGAATAAAGATGATTATAGTACTAAATTACCGACAGAAGTAGATGCAATGGATGTAGATCAAGCAAGTCTTAACGATTCTAGTACGAGAGATATTGACAGATCTTGTGAAAGACATATTATTGATAGCAATATTCGTGACAGAAAGAAACACAAAACGGATGCGAAACAAAATGTACAGTTGGATAAGCGAACAGAAAGTGTAAAACAAAAATTATCTATACCGACCAAAAAAATGGATGTAGATCAAGCAAATTTGTCTAATGAATCTAGTACGAGAGGTACTGATGAAAGTAGACGGAATACTGATATCAATCGTGACAGAAAGAAACAGAAAAGGGATGCGAAACAAGATGTACAGTTAGATAAGCGAACACCAGAAAGTGCAAAACAAAAATTAACTACGCCAATTAAACAAGTGGATGCGATGGATGTAGATCAACCAAGTCATTCTAACGATTCTAGTACGAGAGATATTGATGAAAGACAAATTATTGATAGCAATATTCATGACAGAAAGAAACAGAAAAGGGATGCGAAACAAAATATACAGCTAGATAAGCGAACACCAGAAAGTGCAAAACAAAAATTAACTACACCAATCAAACAAGTGGATGCGATGGATGTAGATCAAGCAAGTCTTTCTAACGATTCTAGTACGAGAGATATTAGTGAAAAACAGAATATTGATAGCATTATTCGTGACAGAAATAAACAGAAAAAGGATGTGAAACAAGATATACAGGATAAGCGAACAACAGAAAGCGTAAAACAAAAATTAATTACATCGACCAAAAAAGTGGATGAAATGGAAGACGAGGCAGGTCCTTTTAACGATTCTAGTACGAGAGGTATTGATGAAGACAAACAGATTATTGATGATAAAAACAAACAAAAAACAAATGCGAAACAAGGTACAAAATTAGACAAGCAAGCATTTGAAACTATAAAACAAAAATTAATTGCAAAGTCAACCAGAAAACTGATTCCGGTAATAGAACCATTAAGTTTACCTAGTAGAAGAAGACGATCTGATTATGGTAAAGATAGAGCAACAAAAGTACGTGAGGATTCATCATCAAAATCAAGCGAAAAGATATCAAAATTAAAAGAAAAACTCAACGATAATTTTTATAACAAGGAAAAAGACCGCAAAGAGAAATCTAAATCGACGGCTGACAGTTTCTCAGCGAGTGAAACAAGACCTGGACCATCAATTTCTAAGGATGAAAAAAAGAAAATAATTGAGCAGAGAAAGATGAAATTGAAAGAGATTGCTGCGGAAGAGAAAAAGTTGACCGCCGAAAGTGATCAAAGTATTAAACGTAGAAATAAACCGAGAGCTAAAATATCCTTGAAAAATCGTGGCGACTTTCTTGTTCCTGAAGAAGAACCGCAAGTATCTAAATCGCTTCCAGATAAATCCGTAAAGCTGCCAAAATCGAGCGACGATCGATCTAAGAAGCGATCAACGGATAAAGCTAACACGGTAGAAAAATCCGCGACTAAGGTATCCTTGAAAAATCGTGGCGACTTTCTTGTTCCTGAAGAAGAACCGCAAGTATCTAAATCGCTTCCAGATAAATCCGTAAAGCTCCCAAAATCGAGCGATGATCGATCTAAGAAGCGATCAACGGGTAAAGCTGACATGGTAGAAAAATCCGCGACTTTCGATGCGAAGAAGTCTCGTCAGAAAACGGACGTTTCTAAAGATACAGTTAACAATATTGCCACATCATTGCAACAGTCTTTACATTTGGATAATATGAGCACATCTGAGGTAAGCACACTGGATTTCAAAGCGACCAATCATAATAGAAAGAAACGCAGCGGGAGCAAGGATAACATAAAGAGAAGCGACGTGAATGCTGATCCCAACGTGTCATTTCAAGATAGATCGACTGAACACAGTTCCGCGATGCAAAAAGAAAATTTTTCACCAAACAGTTTGAAATCGAGCCTCGTGAAACTGAGTCCGAAATCGAAGAAAAAGAAGAGAGTGACCTTTTCTGACCCGTCTCTCGTCCAGATAAGGGAATATGAAATTGACCAGCGCAATAATTTAAACAAATTGACGTGGAAAGATGCACCTATACCCACGAATAAATTAGTAAAAGGTACAAGGGCGTCCATAGTCCATGGAGATTTTAGGCCGAAGCTGGAGGAGTTCCTACTTCGAATTTTTATGTGGAATCCCGTTTGGCTCGAGGAGCAGCGCTACTTGAAGCGCAACCCGCCGATAGTATTGGATAAGGAGGTTCAGACTATGAGACTATCGTACGATTCTTACAAACAGTATTACGAAATTGCGATGCCTCTTCTGTTACTCGAGATATGGTGCATCCTGACCAAAGATTTCGAAATGATCCAGAATAATAAGCAACGCCCGACCATAATGTGTTCTGTAGCCGAAAATTCTGTTACGTGCACCCCAATACCGTCGACCAATTTATTCCTGACGACACTAATGCTCGAAATACTAGTTAGTAAAGACGATATGTATAAACAAATTCATCCCATTTACGGAGATCTAGTATATCTCGAGTATGTCACGATTGAACGCGGTAAGAAAACCTTTCACAAGATATTTGCGTACGTCACCAATATGCAGCGCATGATTATCACAGATTTCACGCACTATAATAGGGATTTAAGGAATTATGTAAAAAATCCTTATGCCGTGATAACGTTTACTTTGCTGACACGGCCTCTCGAGCACAATATCCCTGTAAATCAAGTGCAAAGAGTCCGTACGGTCACGTATTTGCGATCGAATATCAGAATGATGCAGGCATTACAATACCTCCCACATTCGCCTCTGTTGAAGTTAATTGTGAATCCAAAAATCGAGAACTATCAATTAGTGCCACTAAATGAACAGTTCATGTCTTCCTCTTTGGTCACAAAAGACAATTTGAATCCGAAGCAATTGGAGGCGGTATTTAAAGTTACGGATGCTGTGGTGAAGAAAGAAGCGAAACTGTGCTTCATTCAAGGCCCGCCAGGGACGGGTAAGTCCAAAGTTATTGTGAATCTAGTATCTCAAATATTATATGGTGAGCGTCCAGACAAAAAATCTTTGAGAATTCTGGTTTGCGCACCGTCCAACGCCGCCATTGACGAGATCGTGTTAAGGCTTCTGAATATCAGGTCTAAACTAAAATTGAAAATGGTGCGCATTGGTCGAATAGAGTCTATGCATTCAAAGACGAAAACCATTTCGGTACCAGAGCTGGCGAAACGATTTCTAGGACAAATGACACAAAAAGCAACGAACGGCAACTACGTTAACTATGAAGATATGTCGATTTTACAGGCACGTATTAATGCGTATAAAAGCGAACTTGAAAACGCTCAGAAGATGAATGAAGAAAAGAGGCTCTCACTCGTGAATCAATTAGATGAAATGTTCTTGAAATACGAACTCCTAGCATCTGGTAAATCGATAGACGAGCTCAACCCAAAGGACCGCGCCAAGTATCAGCGTATGGCGGAAAATATAGTTCTGATGGGCGCCAACATAATCGCCTGTACGCTTTCGTCTTGTTACACCAATCAAATGGAGTCACTCTTCGGTGGTCACAAGGATAGGATTTCCGTATGCATCGTTGATGAGGCGACGCAGAGCTGCGAAGCGGAGACTCTGATACCGTTGATGTTGGGGGTGAATACATTGGTCTTGGTAGGCGATCCGAATCAACTGCCAGCAACTATTCTAAGCCAGCGAGCGAAGAGGAAAGGACTAGATCAATCGCTATTTTCAAGGGTGCAGAATACCTTCGCGTCTCAATCGAACAATCCAATTATAATGTTGGACACGCAGTATCGCATGGAGGATGCGATCTCGTATTGGCCGAATAAGTACTTCTACGGTGGAAAGTTGAAAAACGCCATCGATTGTAGAACGAAATTCCCATTTCATCCCTACAGAATATTGTATCATAATTTCACTCAGAACGATGATAAATTTTCCAATACTACCGAAGCAGAATTCGTGGCGAATATAATTTTCACTATGCTGATGTTTGGCAAGTGGGAATCGTCAATCGATACACTTTCTCTCGGAGTTCTCACACCGTATAATAATCAGAGGACTCTTGTACTGAATAAGATAAATGAAAAGTAAGTTTTTGTGTATTGCATGTGTATAAGAGCAATAGTTCTCGCGAGCTATGAAGAAATCATAAATTTATGATGTTTATTAATGCTTTTTAGAATATCTATTGTGCCGGACAGCATAAGAAAGAAAATTATCATCGAAGTCAATACGGTAGACGGTTTTCAAGGACAAGAGCGAGACATCATAATAATGTCATGTGTGCGAAGTAGTGGCATTGGATTTTTATCAGACAAACAAAGACTCTGTGTAGCTCTAACAAGAGCTAAACATAGTCTAATATTATGTGGAAATTTTAATACTTTTATGGTAAGAGGAGTTTAAATTTTTTTTAATTCTAGAAATCTTGTGCTACTTTTTTGTATTTACGAAATTAACCAGAAAATATTTACTTTACAGAGAGATCACATGTGGAAGGCATTGTTAACTGATGCACAAACTCGCAAAGTCTTATGCAATATCGATGCCAATGCATCACCTTCTACGATTAAAAAATATATCGTTAAGTGAAGAACTTATTTGCAAAGTTTTACTTAGTGAGTAACTTGTGAGTAATTCTTTTTGTACGGTTTTTTTTGTATATTTTGTAAATATTTAGGCTAGTACTGATCATCTAAATATACAGCTCCTAATGAAAGTGAGTAAGTGCTTTAGGTTCATAGTTGAATTAATAATGAGATAACATGATATCCCACTCGTGTGACTCGAGTGGCAGCGTTACTTGAAGCACGAACCGGATAGATATATCGGAGATATATTTATGACAAAGATACTCTTTCGGTGCTTTGCCATCTCTTTCCGAGAGGAAGGTGATAACCAAATGAAGTTTGATTATATGTTTCTATCTGAATTTGAACTCGAATATTTGGTACAGAAAGCAAACATGTAGCCACGATTGGCACAAATTAATAGGCATGTTCAAACTGATAAACTAGCCAAGTCTGTTCGCCAAGTTTTTGATTGACTGCGTTCCGCAGAAAAAGCAGTTTTGTAACTGTTGTAAGATTCTTTAATATAATTGGTTTATACATTGGGAAATTTTCAGAAAGAGACAAATGGACACACGAATCATTCTGTCTTTGTTCGGTGAGAAACAAAGACAAAATGATTCCTAATAATCTTATGTTGACTTGTGTCACTTGGCTGGAAAGCTTCCTTAGATTCATGAGAAATTAATGGCAAGAATGTCATATTAAATAATCTTATAGCAATTGCAAAGTTTCTTGTTTCTTTATGAAATCTCTTCTATCTAAATTTGTAAGTACGAATTGCACAACTTGTATAAAACACATCTTTTTAAGACTTGACACCAGCTATAATATAGACGCCATATAGAGATAAGAAATTGTAAAAATCTGAATTTCTTTCGTTTTCGCCATACAGACTAGAAATAATGCGTAAATTTGAAGGGATTGCTGGGTATTGTACATATTATGGAATTGTTCAGAATGGATTTGATCACAATTAATTCCTAGATTTCTATTGTGTTTTCTAAAGAAAACAAAATAATTTTGATCGGAATCTATCTCGAACAGTTCCATCTTTGCGAAGAAAATTAATTATAGAGAGCGCTAAAATAATAGAAAATGTTCGCTCTAAGGAGAGAGCGTATTTTTTTCTTTTTTTTTTTTTAGCTCTAGGCACCTTTATTCTTTAATTTTCATTGAGAAACTAATAACATCGTTAATAATATTTCGTTTTTTATCCTGGTCCTAATATATTTTGTACTAAAAACAGAAAAAAATTAATTACAAAAAAGTGAAAAAGTTATATACTTGAAATAAAAGCAGAGCCAGATGTGCGATAAAGAAATAAATATATGTAAATTATTGTTAAAATTAAGTTTAGAGTCTAAATAAAAATATTTTGGTATTCTACAAATTGTGCGTATGTGTGCGTGAGATTAATTGATGTAGTAGTAAACATATATAAACACATCCCTACTACATCAATATCGCACGCATATATATGTACAAATTGTCGATAAAACAGCAACGTTACGGAATTCGGCTGTCGTACACACCAGCATCCCCTTATATATAATAATGGCGTTCACTGAACCGCACTATTATTGCACTATGGTACTTCATTAAACCTGCATTATTATTGTACTAGTGCAATTTTCGTCCTAACATAGATTATACGCGGATTTTCGATATTTGAATTATCTCGAAGTTTATTGTTAATTGTTTTCCGCGACGCTGATTATTGATCTTCTCGCTGCGCTAACTTTGTGAGCGACCTCACTGATGAGGTATTATTAAGCCGTAATCACACCAGTGATTGAGATTAAATTGGAATTTGACCAATTAAAAGAAAAATTAACTGATATCAAGCTCAATAAATTTTGCTTTGATTGGTCAAATCCCAATTCAATCTCATTGTCAATCAATAAATAATGCGCGCGAAGTGTGTGTCACAGTTCTGTGACTTCTGGGCTGCGTTCAAGAATTCACGGTATATCATGTTATCCTCGTTATTCACCGAATGTTTAACAAGGATAAAATGAATATTGATCTAGATGCATCTAGGCGAAGTTTCTGAACGCAGCCCTGTGCGTCTGCACAGACTTGCATAACGCTGCATAACGCACAAGCATAAGACATAAGAGAATCAACCAATCAGAGTATGAAATGAAGGACTCCGATTGGTTGATTTTCTTATGCATTATGTAACTTCCTTATCCAATACTATAGACGGGTTGCGCTTCAAGTAGCGTTGCTCCTCGAGCCAAACGGGATTCCACATAAAAATGCGAAGTAGGAATTCCTCCAGCTTCGGGCTAAAATCTCTATAGACTACGGGCACCCTTGCGCCTTTTACTAATTTGTTCGTGGGTATAGGTGCATCTTTCCACGTCAATTTTTTTAAATTATTGCGGTGGTTGATTTCATACTCCCTTATCTGGAAGAGAGACGGGTCAGAAAAGGTCACTCTCTTATTTTTCTTCAATTTCGGACTCAGTTTCACGAGGCTCGATTTCAAACTGTTTGGTGAAAAATTTTCTTTTTGCATCGCGGAACCGTGTTCGGTCGATCTATCTTGAAGTGACACGTTGACAGTGGAATCGCAGACATAAGAGAATCAACCAATCAGAGTATGAAATGAAGGACTCTGGTTGATTTTCTTATGCATTATGTCTTGTGCGTTATGCAACGTTATGCAAAAGTCTGTAGGGCTGTCTACAATACGTCGTATTGTCAGATCGTAAGCCGTAAATTGTAAGAATTGACCAATCACAGTTGAGTATAAGAAAAATATTCGATTACGATTGGTCAATTCTTAGTTAGTATGATATGAGTAGTGACTAACGGCTTATTGTAGAAAGCCCCTGTGCTTCCACCTTGAGATGGATGACTCTGCGCATGCACCATGAATCATAAGGTCTGTTTTTTATAGCTGAACTAGCTACACTAGTTCAGAGTTTATCTTTCTTCTTCCAATGTAGAAAGAGAAAAATAAACTGTGAACTAGTGCAGCAGTTCAGCTACAAAAAACAGGCCTGTAGGCTGCGTTCGGTTTGGCACTTACAGTGCTTATAAGCATCATTTGTCCTTGTTTAACATTTGATAAACAATAAGGATGAAATGATTTTGTGAGCACTAAGCGCCAAAGCGAACGTAGCCATAATGTTGCATCATTGCATGTAATACACGTGTCGGTAAAGTAAAGCTAGGTAGACTGGTAGAACCGTGGAAACGAACTGGTGGAACCATAGAAGTCGTCAACTATCACGTATCGGCATCAACGGCATCTCTTCACTGTTGTTTGCCTTATTTTCGAAGTGATTTTTGTGAATTGCATTTGCATTTGAGATTCTTCATCGTTTTGTAATCGATTAAAAATGGTTGTATTTCGAGGTATGACGGTGAAAGAGTACACGAGACATTATATGAGTTTCCAACTGTTATACGCGTTCCATCAGACACCATTCGGGAAGTGTCTCATCGCCGTAACCAGCCCCGGCAAAACGTACGTTGCATATTTGACGTTCGTCGACGACGATGATGTAGCAGCTCTCAGAGATCTGAAGCTAAAGTGGCCGTGTACTCAGACATCGAAAGATATCATAAACAAGACGAATGCTGTTGTCGCGAAGATCTTTCATCCCGCCGGCCCTCAACTTCACTCCATTCGTGTCCTCATGAAAGGCTCGGAGTTCCAAATTAAAGTTTGGAGAGCTCTGACGAGAATTCCAAAAGGGGCAGTCACCGCATACGAGGGAGTCGCATGGATGGCGGGCAATCCCAGAGCCGCAATAGCGGTGGGAGATGCCGTTTCCAAGAATTATGTCGGCTACGTGGTGCCATGTCATCGTGTAGGACCAAAGAACGTGAACCGTGTCACCAAGTTTGCTTGGGGACTTGAACGGAAAACAGCTATCTTGGAATACGAAAAGCAGCTCTATGTAAATTAATATCTGTCGCTATCTGTCGTTACTGTAATAAGTGTAGAATATATAACATTTTTAATATATCATAACGAAATACTACTAAATTTGATATTTGTTATAACTATTTTCATACTAATGAATATTACAAATTCGATAGTTGCCAAAACTTTTGTATCTTCTCAAGCTCTTTTTTATTTTTAAATATTTATAATTTTTATTATCCACAGGGACCACTTGTTAGTATGCTTGGCGAGCAGCTCTTACGTCTAAATTAATATCTGTCATATAAGTATATAGCATAACATTTTTATATTATAACGAGTATTTTTTTATATTATACTACAAATTTGATATTTGTTATAACTATAGACTTTACAAATATGGACTGGCAACGTGCTATAGTTTCTGTATAAGACACAGCATCCGCAGGAGGTAGGAGAGAGACATGTACATACATACTTTCTAGTTTCTCTTTCTCGAAGTGTCCAGAAATATACATTGCGCATATCAATGAAACATTTGACAGGTGTTATGACACAATCAATATGAGCATAATGAAAATGTATGCCCAATCAGAATACATCCAATGTGTCAACATGTGCTAAACGTACTTCCGGACACTTAAGAAATAAGAGAAGAAAGAGAAGTACGGACACGACTTTGTGCTTCTATTGCCAGTCCATACCTATAAGATCTATAACTATCTTTATACTAATATTACAAATCTAATATTTGCCAAAGTTATTTTTATATCTTCTTAAGCTCTTTGTTATTTTTGTATTCATAATTTTTATTATCCACTATGTAAAATTTCTAATGCCTCACCTCTTGTCTGAGTGCTCTTATAATTGCTTTCAATTTGTAATTATGTCATATTTTATTTTCGTGCAACGTTTTATTCTCACTGCAACTCTTAATTCTTAAAGGTTACGAGTATAAACAATTAGAATTGTATAAAATAACTTACTTTACTTTCTTACAATCATAGATGTTACACTGAATAAAAGGCGCATTTAAAGGCGATAAATGTTTATTTTCACATACACATTGGATCTTGTAAAATTACAAAATTCCTTTTGTTAGTATAATAAAATACAATGATCATGAAGATGTCTCCCTTCATTCCAAATATTTCGTAAAAATGTCAGTTATTGTCGCTTATATTTATATATTTACATCATGTTTCCTCGTCGTAGTCGAAGCTATATAACTTGATTAAACTAAGTACTTCCATTTGTAAATGCAGGTATAAATAACAGAAATGAAATCTTTATTATACATACAATTTTTCGTGGAAAGTATAGAAATACTTTTGCCTATGGTTTCTGATGACATCTCAAGTTATATATTACTAGCATACATTGATTTACGCTTGCTCCTAAATTTCCTGCAGTTCATCCTTAAATCTTATCCTATAGACATTCGGATTTTGTAACATACTAATTTATATATCTTATTATTGCTTACTTGATTCTTTTATACAATTATACATCTTCAATTGGAATTACTAAGTATACTTGTTCATTATTATTTATATTAAATACAAATTAAAAAGCGAGAAACACATTCTAAAAATGTAAAACTTTTTTTAGTGGTGATACTATATAAAAGATAAAATATTAAAGTTGTTTTAGAAAATTATATAATTTTCTGTACAAATCGTAGTTAAGCATAATTATAATAAATATATGCATATTTCATTATAAATTTGCCTCACTGTCAATATTATACAGTATACACTAATAAATAATCGACGAGTTTACATATTTATATACACCTATTTCCATTTTTCGTAATCAGTCTAAATGCGCGAGCAAGTTAGAACCATGTATAACACAGATATAAATTTCATAACTTTTACATAACGGATGGCATGTAAAAACACATGTAATATTTAATTTAATCTGTGTTTAATGGTGTATGGTTAAAGTGTTTTTTGTAAAATTGTTCTTTTGTATATACATTGTTTTTTTCCCTGTGTTATTACATTTTTATCAACCCGGGAAAAAATAGTTCGTATAAGAACATATATATTTAAAAAATTGATTTTTTCAATATTTAAAAATTAATTTTATCAATATTTGTCCTCCTTCAAACCGTGTAACTTTTGTCTGAAATAATTTTCCGTGTCTTCTATATTTTTCATTACAAATGGATCATCCTGTATATATAATAAATATATATGAATATAAAGAAATATATTATATAATATATAATTATACAAATTATGCTCATATACACATCCATATTAATTCCTTTCTTTTGTGAAAGTTCTTGTTTAATACAAGAAAAGCGATAATAATAAAATGAGATTTTATAAAAGAAATTAATATGGACATATTTTGTATATAATTATTTATTATATATATTTGTGTTTATATATATATTTATACATATTCTTGTACGAAAATTTTTTCTCGAGGATCTTTTGAATTTATACTTTCACATAGAGGAATTTTCTCTTCGATACACATAATTATGCTATAATACATTTTAATTATGCGAGTAGACGCATCACTTTCACTCACGTTACTAACTTTTCTCAGCACTTTTAGACGAAGTTTTTCGTTTTTTATTTTCTTCTTCTATATCACTGATATGTGTTGTTCGCGAAAATACACTTTCCTTCGTATTGAATAAGAATGTACATCTGTTAGAATCATTTATCTCTAATGGAGAGGAAAGGAATTTGAACCATACATATTAAAATATAGTAGCTTTGTTCAGTCTTATGCAACTGTATAATTCATTTATCTTTCTATGTCAAGCTATTTGTTTTTTCATTATGGCGCGTTTTCTGCTCTACGGACATTTAAGAAATATTTTACTTGTATTATTATATAAAATTATATAAAATAATTATATCACCGTATTAACTACTCTAAATAGTATAAGGGACGTCTGGAGGTCTTGTTTGATTTAAAAAAAGAGTTTGATATCAGTCACTGTAAAATTTCATCTTTGCAATATTTAAAATAAACTAAATTTATCACAAAATTTATTAAAAAAAGTTACCGTCAATCCCTTCTATATATCTTTATATTTCTGTGATGTTTATTTCGTAAAAAAAACTATCATTTATTTGCACGTAGACAGTGGCTCTTTGGGTTTTCGTGGACAGTCACGGCGGAAATGTCTGTTATATCTTACAAGGCAGTGCCCAAACACGATTATTGAGACCTAACAGTTTGCGGTCTATCTCTATTGAAATCAGTTAAATAAATTATAGTAATAACTCGCAATATAGGGATCGATCACAACTTCATCGTCGGCGAAGAGTTCATATTATATAATTGCAGCTTTATATTTTACGTACCGTCACGAGTCTTAAATATCGATAAAAAATATCTGAGTCATGAAATTTTCTCGATTTATAAAAATTCCTGTGCGTTCGTCAACTCGCTCGATGGAGCAGATCGAAGTTTTCGATTTCGTATTTAGTCTACGAAATTCTTCTCTTTTTAAATTTTCGCAAAACGCGACGTGGGCGGAGTGATGATGCGCGAGGTGAAAAAATATGATATACAAATCTGCTACGTTCTCTGCGATATCGTTTCACATCGGTCTTCACAATAAATAACTGGCTTATTTACGTCTCGATTGTCACTTAAACAAGGATAACAAAAATGCAGTATATGTACATTAATTAAGGTATCAATCATTAACTAGCTCACTATTACGTTTGTAAAAAGGGTGTCATTATTCGAGCGAATACGGGGAAGCTATCTTGAAAAACGCGACGATCACAGGCACGAGGAGCATAAATGTCGTGGGCGTTGTCGACCTGCAGAGAGCTGATGCAGAAACTGCATTTCCTGGTACTCGAGTAGTCTCTGTAATCGAGAAAAGAAAGTTGTCTAAACCAGCCATTCTCTATTAAATAGTTAATTAAAAATTAGTAAAATATTGATTTTATTAATTATAATAAATCACACGAGAAAATATTTATTGACAGGATATAGTATGTTATAGAAATGAGTTATAGGTTCAAATGTAAAAAAGGTAATTATATATCCTGATTTGGAAAAATTTTAAAAATTAATAGATAATAAATGATAAAATTTATTTAATTAACACACCCGATAGCCTCGATCGCGGGGTCGTCGTAATCCTCATTATAGGATTGAGAGGAATCGGTTTCATCGGAGTTGGCGCAGGACTCGGCGAATTCCCGTAACATTGTCCTTAAATAACATCGTCAGAAGTGTATTATTTATTACTGCTAATTAGACGAAAAAGTATGACTTCTTTCATTTACTTTTACATGACTACACGAATTTATATGGATGTCCCAGTATAAAGCTCTTATTAATTGTTTATAAAACGAAAGATTAAACGCGTAGAAATATGAATGTATGAATAAGTTCGTTTCACATAAGAGCGGTCGTAAGAGTGCTTACCCTTTTTATAAAGACGCATTCCCTGCGTCTTGGGATCTATATTTCGTATGCAGTGATCGCCGGCTTCTTTAATGTATATCTCCTCGTCATTGACGATCAAACCCACGAAGCACTCATTCGTGGCAGTGTCATTTCTCATAGTATAGGTATACATCACACCTTTCTCCTCCCACTGTCCCAAGCACAGATACGTTCGTTCTGAAAACAATGAGGAAAAGCGTTTGTAGAAAAAAGAAACATATAAACGTATAAATATGTAAATCATAAATAATGTTAATAATATATATGTGAATGTATGATTTTTTTAAATTAAATTGTTGAAAATAGAATTTTTCGATTGTTAGAAAAATTTGAACTAAAAAATATCGATAACTTCAAAGGAAAATCGATAATTGTTTAACGTCAAATCGCACAATTACATTTTTTTCTAGTAATTTATTTTGCTATTCTTCTTTTATTCATTTCTAATAATACTTTCTTCACTGTTCTTTACACTTTCTAATAGTTGCATGCATACCTTCGTACAACTCCCCGGACTCGCAGTCGCTCACTTTATAATACATTATTTCGCGAGTGTTACAGTTGCTGCTTAATTCGGCACACATTCCCGATAAATCTGTTATCTCTCCTGTGTATTGACCCGTAATGGGACAGGGCGACTCCACCACACGTTCGATACCTTAAAAAATTAATCATTATCAAATAACCGTGCGCATTTTTAAAGTATGCAGTTCATTTAATAGTGATAGAGTTACTTATAAAACTGGATTTATGAAGGTGCTTTATGAAAATGTATACTTTAACTTACGTGCTTGAGTCATCCACACCGCGTTATCCATATTGGGATCTTCGCACACTTCGTTCTGATTCGCCGCTGGATTAAGGATCATCCCTGTGCCGCCCGATAGCGCTATTATTAACATAACTACACTGTTAGTAACTGTAGGTACTTGAGATTCGTATAAGAAACAAAATGTGATATAAAGATGAACAGAGATTAAATGAAAATTAGAAAAAGAAAAAGATTTTTTATATATTCAGACTTATGTTTGAATTACTTGAACTACTTCGATTAATCTATTCGATTATTCTATTTACATGTAGATTTTATACTACTTTGAGTTCAACAAGATATTCCTTTGAACAAGATGTTTATATTGAAGCCCCTTCAAATATTATCAAAACATGTTGCAGTTTTTAGCGTTAATAATAATAGAGTCGCTACGTAATGAAGAATTACACGGAACAGTTGAGTGTAGGAAATAATTACCTAACGTAAATTCCAGTACGTTTTCGCTGCGCTGCCTCATCATTAAGCACACAAAAGCGGCATGCTCACTGAAATTAAAAGTAAGTGTTCGTTTCACTTTTAACTTTCACTGTCAGTCAAAATAATGTTCTAGGACACAAGAACGTTATGTAAGCTATAAAAATAATTTTATTTCTAATCTTACATTTTTTAAATTTTATTTTCGATAAAGTATATTCGACCAAATTAATTGCTCACCATTGATCCTTGGAGTACACGACATAACGGCCAGTCTCCTCATTCGATTCCACTGTGATAAATGTGTAACTATTGTAGCCATTGAGATCGGTGAAAGTCATTGTTCCATTAACTATCAGGGACTCCTCCCACAATCCCTGCGCCCATTTCGGGAATCTAACAATGTTATTAACGTATCGATTATTACAAGCATTTTATAAATATTAGTTTTTAAACACAAGATTTTCGTATTTAAAACGTAAAATTCGTACTCACGTGGCAACATGAGTCCTCACGTATTCCGGCACCGTTTTTTGATTTAGGCTCTTGCTCAAAACCAAAGTCTCGTATCCATTAGTTGAATTATCTAAGTTCTGCGTGCAGCTCGAGTCACTGCTAAATGCCATGTAAGTTTTCCCCCTTTTGTTATCAATGTGGTATAGCTGAAAGTTGCGTTTCACTTTTAACGAGCTGTCATTAACACGTTAAATGCCATGCAATCTTACGAAAAAATGATTTATTATGTAACGTACCCCGCATCTATATTGAGGGCTGCCATCGTCGGCGTTGCTGTTCCAAAGAGCAAAATATCTAGAATTATTCGGTCCATCCCAACTGCCCAAACACTTGTAAGAGATATCTGTCGAAACGAGATTATAATGATGTATTGATGATGATTTCCGAAAAAGTCACAGTTCTTTATCGTTGCCAACATTTTGTTTAAATTAATTTGATAATGATGTAAACGAGAGGAAGACATGCACACACATATTTATTTGTTTGCTAAATTATAACTCTAATTTATGAAATCTCAATCGCAGTTTTACTGCTTAAATATTTAAAAATGTATGTGAACCTCTTTAAATTGCTTCTCAAAGATTTACTACATTAATGTAATCACACAAAGGAATTTAAGAGAGACTTACCGCGCGCCTCGAAGTTACATCGTTTGAATTTTAAATGTAACACCGATCCATCCGTTCCACAATTATTGAACTCTGAGGAGAACGTGCTGCACTCAAACGAGATCGCGGAGTTATTGTTGATGCTGTATTTGAAGTGATAAAGACCGACGATAGGGCAGTATTCATTCCGAATCGGTGAACCGCCAATTTCTTTTGATCCTGTTGGCAGTAAAGTCGAAAATAATTCACTAATTATATATCCTACAATTATATTTTTAAATCTATATATCTCTTCACATATATTTATTTACAAAAATATTTTTTTCTTTCTTATTCACAGATATATATTATTGCATTTAATTGGAACTTGAAACTAGAATATAATTTAAGAATTTTAAAAAATTATTATATTTAATAAGAATTCAGAATCACACTTGATTTGAGCATATATGCGATTTTCATTCTTTTATTAGAAAACAGATTGGAACATAATCGCGTGAGATCGGATTTTCCATGAAGAGATTGAAATCTGAAGAAACCTTTGTCCACAAAAATCCTTTCGAAATAACCCCCGCGTTTTTCGGAATTTATACAAAGAGACGCGATCTGTCAGCAGGAAATAGCTGAAATTCTACACCACGTTTTCACCTAAAAGCTTTGGCTTTCTTCGCTCGTTCTTAAATCAGTTTTGTCGTCGCGACGATAATCGGAAGGAATAAAAAGGAAAGCATCGGCGGAGTCTTCAAAGTGATTTCCACGAAATAAGAGAATAGTGGTGTTTCATAATTGTATAAATAAATAAATATAATCTCTCTCTTTTTCAATGATCTTTTCAAGTCTTTCGGCGCTCACCGCAGTTACGTTTCAAAGCTTCTTTTGAAAATCTTCTTTTGAAAAGAGAATGACTTCAAAGAATGACTTCACTGGACTTCAAGCGGTTAAGATAATAAATTCTACAAACAAATATTATTTCTCTAACGTCTGTCCTTTTTTCCTCTTTTCATTTCATCGCGATTATGTCTTGCGAAAAAGAGAGAAGGGAAAAGATAACACATCGAAAGAATTCGCTTTTCGAAATATTCTTTCTTTCGACCGCGCCTTCGTGATTGAAGTCTTGTCTGTTTATTATATTTGCCACCGAGGGAGGGAAGAAGGACGGCAAAAAATTCCGTCTCGCAATCCGTATAATCAGGACAATTTACGATTCATATAATTACAGAGCCGGTCGCGTTTAAACAAACCGTTTTAAACCCGCGGGACCGACTGTTGTCCACTTAACTCGACAAAATTTATTTCCTCCTCCCCTCCCTCCTCCCCGGCCCCGTATTTCGCGTGGCCAGTAATCCCACCGTCATCTCGTCATCGCGAACGCGCTGTACGCCTTCTGTACTTCTTCTCGACTTTCCGCCGTACTCCGTGTAATTGGCGTGCGGCCGTATTGCCGGGACCGAAACGAACGAATGAACGAACGAACGAACGCGATTCTCTTCCTCGTCTTGGAGCTGCCTTCGTGAGCTGTTACATTTCGCAAAACAGTTCGAAAGGATGAAACGCGAGTCGAGGAAAAAGCAATATTGAATTAACTCTAGTAACTGTGAGTTTCTTCAGCTGTTACACGATTTACAACGCCGTTCTAAACTTAGAAGTTCTACGAGAGAGAGAGAGAGAGAGAGAGAGAGAGAGAGAGAGAGAGAGAGAGAGAGAGAAATAATGAAGCTGTGGTTTTTTACGAGACATGGAATAAGAATGACATAAATCATAATTGCTTTACTGAAGGAAGTAAAAAGATACTTGAAAATACCTAATGTTGAGTTAAATTACTGTAATAATAATTTTTATAGCCCTATAAAGAGGAAATTTACAATTGTATTACATATTGCGTTAAAGTAATTATGCATTACATTTACATATATATCAAAGTATTATTTTATTTTTTATTTGTTGTCTTTATTTACCATTTCCCCTACAAAGACAGACATGTGTTTGCAGTCCGATGAATAAAATTATTCGTTTCAATAAATTTACAAGATTGGCATTAAAAATAAAAATAAAACAGAATTAAAACGCGTCGTATTTTCACAAAAGGCGCCAAAAGTTGACACAACACGAAACTATCTTCATCGAAGTTGGAATGCGCACACTCTCAATTTTCTTTGTCCAGACGACGCCAAAAAATATCACGATATAATTTAGCGAAACGAAAAAACCCACAAGATTTTTTTTTCTTTATTGACGACCGAACATCGCGTGTTGTAGTGTCCCTCGCTTATTCCACAACAGGACGATTAGGACAAGGACCTTTTGGGAGCAGGCCACTCCCACGCTTCCGACGAATACCTGACGATACCCCTGGTTGCTGCGTGTATCACGGCCCGGGAAAAGAAAAAGGAAAACAGGAATGGAACACGACAGAGATTGGATGGGAATGCGATAAGTCATTTCGGAATCTTCTCGGCGTTCTCCCTTGTTTCCGGAACGCTCTTCTATTTTCAAATGATTCCAGGATATTTGTCAAAAGAAACAAAGAAACGTCGAATCATTACATAACAATTAATCCAAAGATTGATTAAAATAAAAGATATCCTATCTTGTATATTTTTTTCTTTTCTATTAAAGGAAATTCTAATAATGATTAATATTTTTATAGATATTATATGTTTTGTAAAGCACATGCGCGTATTATGAAAGATTATTATTTACATCAAGAATAAAAATGAATTAAACTGGAAACTTAAAAAAAATCAGAATCAGAGAAAGAAGATAATTATTGCCGCGTGTTTTTTGACTGTGAGCGAACCCTTTTCTTCCAGTTAACTTCAGTTTCCTTATTTCATGCTGAAAAAGATATCGATACCAGTGTGTTTTCGTGAGCAAATTCGCCAGATGCGGATTCCTCACACGTCACTCGGCGATCGCCCGTTGTCGGCCCTTTTTTTACCAAAGTCGTATCCTTCCAGGAGTGCCGAGAGATTCACTTCACGCACGGACATTCGATTACGTTCTTCCGCCGGACCCACCGGCTCGCGTTTTCGGTTCCCGTAAAGTTTCTCGCGTGCAGCGACACGGATCAAAGCGTGAAACCAGAATTATGAACGGAATCAGGCTCGACTCGCCGCCGATCGGTCGCCGCCGTCTCGATTGCGTCGCGAAGACAGGTGTACTGCAGCTTCTTGGGAGCCGCCACAGGTGAACGCGCGTGATAATGCACCGGAAGCCGAGGGATCGACGTTAATCGAACAAACTTCATTAGGAAAGTAACAACGATAAACGCGAATGCGTGCGCGCTCTACTGTGCGCTAATGTGGGAAAATCTTATGTATTTTGAGAACGCAAGTATTAAGTGGCAAAACTTTATATCACTAATCCTTGGTGAAGTTAAAACAGATTACAAAGAATTTTAAAATTCAACGATATCCGCCCGTGGGAGAAATGAGTAAGAAATTATTTTACATCAAATTAGATTTTTATGCGCATATATGCATTTAAATTTATGTAGATATTAAAGTTATTATTAGATTTGTAATATTTAATATTAGATATATTTAATATTATAAAGATATCTCATATATGTTATAAAAAGTTACGATTTATATGTATAGGGTATCTCAGGACATTTGACAGACAACCTGCACATTCTACAAGTGGAAATAAGAACAAAAATGTTATGTGAAGTTTGGCTAGAAATACTTTATTACAAAGTTATAAAATGATACTTGAATCATTCTCTCTAAATTTTTTGGAGTGAATTTTCATTCTTTTGGAGTAAGATTTACTCCAGAAAATTCAGAGAGTTTAAAGACAGTAAATATGATGTGAAGATATACACGAGATAAACACGTTCAACCTTTCTGTACACAAAATGTATATTTTCATATTCACGTGCAATAGAAAATCCGTTGTTTCCTATTTTATGTTTCAATATTTATTTGTAACTTTATAATAAAGAATTTCTATAAGCCAAACTTGATGTAACATTTTTTCTTCTTCTATCCACTTGTAGAATACGCTCTTGCGGTTTGTCCGTTAAATCTTGAGACCTCAGGTATATAAAAACTTTTTTCTTGTTTGCCAAGCGTGTCCCTGCATTTTCAATCTCGGAGCGTTCACGCGGACTGCGTCGCGCAGTCCGGAATTTGCCGGACCTCCCCCGCGTATAAATAATTATACAAATGGCCCAATCATCCTTAAGAGCGTTTTAATTGACACGCGCGTGAGAAACTCACTCGCGGCGTGTGTGCGTTTTACACGCGACGCGACGTGCGTGCCGTGCGTTTTACGCGGCGCGAGGCCCATTGTTCCCGCGTCGTTACGCAAGCCATCATCGTTTCTTCCCGCTCCGCGGTCAATTAACGCTAATTATCGAGGACTACTAATTCGCTACGGGGAGTACGCGCCGAACTCGATTCCCCCATACGTGGAGATCGCGTCGTAATTCGTCCGTCCGATAAACCGGAAGCCCCGCGAATTCCTCGAGTACGATAACGTGCACGTCTCGCGTAAATAATGCACTGCAAGAATGCGAGTAATTAATTTGTTCGGATCAAACCGCGCGTTGCCGCGGTGTTGCCTTGTCGCGCGTAACATTTTTCTTTAACAGGAGAAAGAACACAGAGCAAGAAAACAGACATAATTCACATTTTACTATTTGCTTTTTCTATTTGATAGATACAATATTAACGTTCAATGAAACATCGTCACGCTTGTTCCACGCTCGCTTCATTTCTTCGGCGAGCAAGCGGGACGTACTACACGATCAAGGTGTTCGCTCGACAAGTACAAAAAGTCGCGTTAATTCGCATTAGCTATAATCTGGCTTGTCTAAGCGTGGGGAAAAAGCAAGATTATCCGGCTGGATCGCCCTGTATTTCATGCATAAGGTCGCACTCATTATCATAAGTATGGCTCACAGTGCATTTAGCTCGGCGCACGTACGTCATAGATCGCGGTCTCTGCCTCGGGATTAAATTATCGGGAGAAATCCGCCTTCTCTACTTACGGTACAGGATTGAGGTGGAGTTCAGTGTGCCGCAGGAGGCCAAAGCGGCCGACTCGTATATGTAACACCTGTTGAGAGCTTCCGAGAACACCTCGATGACGTTCCGCGATCTCCGCAGCAGCCGGAAACACCGTATGCAATCTTTGTCGTTGTTCCTGCAGCAAGCGAATGCCATAAATTGCGTTAGCAGAATCATAATTCCGTGATTTACGTGTGACGTGCTATTATAAGGCACGATTCTCACGTTCCATCTTTTGCCGCGCAAGCAAAAAAGAATGATTAAGGCCTTTTATTTGATATTATCTTCCTCGCAATTTTTAAGATATGAGCGTTAAACGGGCCTTGATGTATCTACGTTTAGATTGAGATCTAGATTAAAATTTCGCTGGAGAACATGATTGAAATTGGTTTATAAAACGAAATTTGCAAATTCGAGGCAAAAAATTCAATTTATATTTTTCTGTCGACTTTAAATCAGATTCTCGGCTACATATATCGACGATTAATCTTAAACCAATCTTATAAAAGATGCAGCGACGGCCATAGTTATGACAGTCTGATAAATAGTCAGATAAATATAGCACCCTCGCCGCGCGCCGCGCCGGCTCGCGCGTCTATAATCGCAGACGGAAACGTTACTTGCGGAATTTATACGCCGCGCCAATCCCGGGACCGCGATCGTGGAGAAATTGGAAAATCAATAGGGGCTGAATTGCGGCTGGGGAAAACTTAACTGCGAGATACATAAAGTATCGCAACAACGATATCCCGGGCGCGCCGAGATAATGTTGACTCTGAAGTAACAAGACGATGATAGTCGCGCCGCGCCGTAATATCAGCGGGTGAGAAATAATGAAGGAGCCCCGCTTCTCTCGGCTCCCTTGTTTCAATCAACCACGCTTGGCTCGCGCTTCGAGAGAGTCTTAAAAGAATTTTCGAGTACCCCGCCCTTAATTAGGGTTGAATTTATAATCTCAGACTGGTCCGAGAGCTTCATTCGAGACTCTTGAAACATTAATTTATATTTGCAAAAACTGAAGATTGCTCTCTTTTCGCAAAAAAAAAAATACGAATGCGAAGAAATGACATCTTTACGAGATGCTCGCGTAGCAAGGGACGCCGATCCTCGTTATCGTAAAGTATCCGATCCTGTATCAGCGTTTTAATATTCGCGCTTCCTCTCCTTGAGATCTACGAATTTCTCACGAAATGAAGGCACGCTGACATAAGACGTGGCACTAATGGCGGTATAATGGCGGTGCGATAGCGTCTCGATTAGAGCACTACTAGTACTGTCGTGATGAGCCTCACGTGAATTAACACGCGATTTACCCGACACGCAGGAAGTGGACAATGACAAGTACAAAAGAAAGAGAGAAAGAGAGGAGGAAGGAACAAGGACATCCTCCTTGTTCCGCGCGATGCCAACGACTCGGAGAAGTGACACGCGATATCTCGAGATTAAATTTAAAAACGCAAAGAAATTCGGTGGAGGCGATGTCGAAAGTTAAATAAATACGAAAAATAGCGATCTGTCGAAGTCCTTTGTCGGTCAATTTTTAATTCGAGCTATCTACATCCGGAACTTGTCGCACCGTTGTGAGACATCGCGCAGCATATCGCCGAAGTTCTCTCTCGACTGGAAATATTGACTTTCGAAGAGAAGACTGCGTTAAAAGCCGATAAAGAGGTGCAAATAGAGTGAAGAGGAGAGAATGAGCGAGATAAAGGTTCAGAGAAAATCCGTCTGAGAAAATCCGTTTTGTGGAAGCGAGCAACTTTTGTGCAAGATTATATGGGAACCGGTACGCAAGAAGAGAAGGGAAGAGAGCGCGCGTTTTTATTATCGCGTCGCCTCTATATCGCGAGCCGCTATCTACCCGCTTTTCACACACGATTACGAAAATGACAGTGGTTGCGGAGGAGTCATTTGTTCAACAGTATCTGCACGGTGCAGCGGTTGTATAATGCATCGCGTACTCGCGCAACGAAATCGCCATCGCGGTGAAGATGTTATTTAAATAATTGTGAGCTATTAGGGTAACTACATAGGCGCGCATCCGAAGGCGGGTGTTTGCGTTATAAAGGGTTACGCGCCAGGAATGTTGTTCAGAGTTCAGCTCTGTGTACAGAAACCAGTGTAACGATCCTATATTTTAATTATATAATAAAGACCTAAAACATTCGCGTTTCAAATTATCTTGACACGTACAATTTTGCATCGACGAACCGTCAATGAATTTTTCTCTGCTCTTAATATACACACGATTTTTTTTGTACGTACATTTACATGTAAACTAATATGTGTACATAATGATTCCAATTTAAATATATAATGGCAACCCGATAGCCGTACGTCAAATTATCCTGAGATACGTCCGTCTCTATACGTCCGTCCGTTTGAATTCTCTTCCGCTCTTCTTATACATACATGTATCTCTTTCCTTGTACACGTCTTTATATACACGAGCGCGAAATATCTTACGCATTAACATAATAACGTTACAAGTATCCCGATCAATTTTCCGACCCAGTGAGTGAGCAGAGTACGCCAGAGTAGCGCGGTGACACCGAGATGCGGAGTCGAGAACGCGCGCGGTCGGCGCGGCGTGGCCTCTCCCGACCGTCCGTGGGCAAGTGCACGCGAGTGAGTTTTACAACGTCGCCGCATACCTGCGCGTATAATTGTACCTCCGAGGCAATAGCTGTCGCGCCGATATTATGCAACCTGTGGGAACGGGCGTGTGGGCCCGTTTATCGCCGGTCGCGTGGTCACCGGACCCCGCCATATATAGGAGACCTCGTTCTCGCGCAAAGCGGCTCGCGCAAGAGAGCAGCCCCTGCCAGCGCTCTCGGGAGCGCTCTCCAGATATTATTCGCCAACTGGAATGTCACACGATAGGTTTTGCCCATATACGCGGAGCGCTCCACGCGAGCGCACTCTGAATTCCAGAGTATTCGCCTCGTCCTAATGGTGCCGTTCTGAGTTTCTCACACCCGGCGCACAGTCGTGCACAGTTGCTGCGAATTGCTTAAGAATCATTAACCCTTTGCGGTTCTATGCGTATGTCGAGTTGTACTCGATATAATACATCGCAGTATAAGTCCTCTGTCGCGTAATTTCGTCATCACACGTACAAGCATTGAAATCTACAGGCGATTACAATTGGCAAACCATATTTTCGGAATCTCCATAAATTCCTTTAATTAACAAAAATTCTTTGATTCATGTTTGACTAGATGGTTATGCGATAAAGTTAAAGATGAAATACTTGATCATTGCTCATTTGCGAGAAATACTTGAATCGCAAGGAATTAAAGCCAAGAATTAGGTGCAACGTGTTTATTTCTCGATTAATTATTTTTCTTTAACGCAGAAAGAACAAATTATAAGATAAAGACAAGTTTTTTTAGCTTTGATGATAAAACAATAGATACTTTATTACGTCCCCGGAGAGAATTTTCTTTTAAAATTTACCCTGAAAATCATGTTAATTGTGAGACAATATAGTATTTAGGTAAATTTTACTGTGCACTACAATAAATTTTACTGCGAAATCTTATTGTAGTGCACAGTAAAATTTGCCTAAATACTATATTGTCTCATAATTAACATGATTTGCAGGGTAAATTAAAAAAAAAATTCTCTCTGTGTATAGATACTTTATTTAAAAAAAAAACGACTTGTGTGTCCGTGAGAAATGCTTTCTTAATATCACCTTTGATGTGCTTTGATGCGGTTATTAAAACTCAGTATAACTTTATACTGAAATTTACTTTCTTTTCCTTCTGTTTTATACAACCGCGATATCTTTTATCATTCATCTTCGCTCCCCTCGATGTAGTTTCTTCTTATAATGGTGTCCGTTTTATCTCACGTTTCAGATCGAGCGGTTACTTATCAGGATAATGAGCTATACTTAGATTTCGCTATAAATAGCCTGCGGAACGTTATTAATTAACACGCTACAGCTAACTTTTCCGTAACGTGAACTTCGAGGCGGCGAAATTTGCATGGAAGCGAACTGCAATTCAGATTTGCACGCAAATCCGAACGTCAGGGCGCCGCGCGCCGTTCGCGAAACAAGTTTCAAGACACGAGAACGAAGAATGCGCGACTCAAGTCGATAAGTTCTCCCCCGTTGCTCATTACTTGTTTCGGAAGCGTCTGTATTTAACAATCGTTAGTGCAACGTGCTACTTTATTTCGCGCCGTTTATCAAATTACACACGATCGGAATTGCGTTCACTCTCGAATCCGCGGGGACTGTCATCATCATATTGTCCGACCGCGATATCCCACTGACCCGAAATGTAAATCGTGTATTGCATTCGAATCGGATTTGCATAACGGCGCACGCATCGCGCAAAGCTGATGGTCTCACACGAGCGACGACGAATCGTCACACGGGGACGAATTGTATATACTTATACAAATGAAAAAAAAAAGAGAGAAAACGTAATTTCGTAATGAAGAAACTGCTATTTAGCATCCATACCGTAATAACTGCGTCAGGGAGGTGGTATTAAGAAGGCATTTCTCGCGGACACACGAGTCGCGTCGTTTCTCTCTCGCGAGTGACTTCCCGAGCGAGTCCGTTTGTTGCGGTTTGCATTAATGACCGATTCAATTGTCAACGGCGACGGAATCCAGGGGGAAACCCCGTGCCCCACGCAATTAGAGTGACAAATGAGCCGCCGTGCGGCGCGAGGAACGTGCGACTCCGTCCGTCCGTTCTCTCGGCGCGGACATCACCCCGGAGAGGAGTGTTCGCTCGCTCGTCGCATTGTCGACGACGCTCGAACACGAAGGTTGAGTTACATGGAAACTGGAGGAGAGGCCAACACCACCTTCGGCTAGTCACTCCTCCATCTTCACGGAGATTAATGGTGGAAGATGGTATGCAACGGGAGAGACAGAGAAACGAGGGGGGTGGGAGCCCTCTTTGTTCTATCCGATCGCCAAAGGTAGGGCCTGTTCAGCTCACATGACGCTCGCATCCTCGGCGACGATATATTCTCTTCCGATGCCGATGCCGATTCTCAACTTAGCCGTAGCGACTGTTATGCCGTGAAACACATAAGCGTACCTACGTTATACCGGACGATTCACGTGCCAACGTCCGCGAGCGGACGTTGTATAGTTTTAATCGGCATATCATCTGTAAGATAATCGCGGTAATATTTCTAAAGAAAAGTCTATTTTCGTTCGTCTATTTTTAAGATAATATATTTAAAAAATTTTTTAAGATAACAATATATGTTTTTCTCAGATTATATATAGGATAATATTATAAGATAAGAAAACTGTTAAGTCCATTTACATAGTAACTATTTTCCAATGCCTTATTAGTTCTAAGAATTAAGTGTTTTCCATAATAACTACGAATTTCAAATGTTTTTCAATGGCTCATTTAGTTCTAAGAATTTTTGACATATCTCTATTTTCCTATATAAATGGAGGACTCTCCGACTATAGAAGCAGTTCGTGTCGAGTCCCTTTATGCAAGTAAGCACGTCACGTAGCAATACGCGAGTAAAATGTAATAAGAATTATTGTATAAAATTGTCGAATAAAGTTATTTTTGTACGATGATCATTCTCGCGAATTTTACAGCAACAAATTTTCACAATTCTGATAATAAACACAGATTTAAAAAAAAATTTAAATTTTATCTTCTTGCCTTTTATAGGTAATGATGTTATTTAGTTTTAGAAGACACTTCATATTTATTATTAGATGCACAGGATTTGTGATCTCAAAATAAAATATAGGTAATTTTTGTGCAGAGTCGTGCTTTAAATAATCTCTCTCTCTCTCTCTCTCTCTCTCTCTCTCTCTCAAATATACTTATAACGAGCGATGTAAGCTGCGGTATACATTACCCTAGTAAACGCGCAAACCGATTAAGCGGACCGCCATAATATCTCATCGTGCGCTCGCTGGCGATTCTCGCGAGAAAATTATCGCGGCGGAAATACAGCGATCTCGCTCTGCGAAAATCATTACGGCTACCGCGCGCTTAGAGAGGCAATTTACGTGAATTCTGCATACGGCTTTTATACGCACGCCGCGCGTCGCTTGTCGCTCCGGCAAATTATTGCGCACCGCGATTATTGCTAATAATTGCGGGCTGGTCGGCTGTTCTCGGCGCAGAACGCACATAAATGTCGTCGCCGTTTAAATATACACGTTTAACGATACCGCTCCGACGTAAAAGTGCACGCGGGGAAGAGACGCACAATTGATTAAGCGCGACGAGAATGAAAAAATGCGAGGCAATTAAGCAGGGCTCGAATCTCGAGCAATTAACGGGTCGTCTCACAGAGCGATCCGTCCGTTGATTACATAGTCATTTACATATCATTCTAAGCAAATTTACGACCCTCTCTGATTTGCTCCTGCAAAAAATATTTAAGGGAAGATTATGCGACGCATCATTAGCGAATAACTTGTTAATGACACGTAGAAGATCAAATTTATCATAGTATCGCAACACGCCGTAATGTCAAAATGTATAACGATTATTAAAAGACGAACCATTTATTACGCTCGTTTTTTATTCCGCATATTTTTACGTCCGTGAAATTAATGACGCTGAACGGGCTCAAAATAATAATTTTCCAGATTATAAATACACAAGAGAGGCAACGAAACAATTGGAGATATGATTTCTTGGAATATTCATGGCGCGAGACAGCTTGTTAACGATTCAACGTGAATCGCGAAGTATATGATCGTGTCTAGAGAAGAAGAAGAAGAAGAAGAAGAAGAAGGAGAGGAAGAAGGGGTGGGCTCTCACGTGTATGCCAATTTATGCATACTTGACTGGACAACACCCACATTGCTTCGTGAACTTTCAGATGCATCGGAGAACTATCGATTGGCACGACGAGGATCTCGGGCCTTGAATTTCTATGAGACGTAACAATGAAATCTTATAAAATCAAATTTTTTAAATAGCAAAAACAATTTTCACCTATTTCTCATCTATTTCTTTTATTTTGTCTCTCCAAAATGCAGGCTGATAATCGGAAAGCAGAAGCAAAATAGCTGTAATAAATATTGTAATGACTGAACAGAACAGAATTATTTAAAACACGACTCCGCACAAAAATGATTTATATCTTATTTTAAGGCACACACAATCCTAGTGCATCTAATAAATATGAGCTGTCTTCTGAAACAAGATAACACCAAGCTAACAGCCAATTTGTAAATTTTTTGCACTTATTTGTGCTAATAAAAATATCGGGCTTTTCTTGCAGAGAGTAACACGTTTAATTAATTTGATTCTGTTTATCACAAAATGTAATGTGTATCATTACAAATAACTACTTGTTTTCGGCAACTTTCCAATTATCATTCTGCATATAGACATGTAAAGATCTTGTTTAATTAAAGCACTTGTGAATTAACAAGAAAGCGTATAATAACTTTGCAAAACCGCCCAGGTTCTCTGCAGTTAGTTTCAGATCGAATTCAGAAATTTAACTCCAATGAGAATAAGATCCCCTCGGAAAGGGTATAATGCCGAAGCTACACTCGAGATTTGGGATAAAAAGGACGCACGTTTCGCCATTTCCTTTTCGTTTTACGGCTCTTTCTGGAATTAGCCCGGGCTCGCGCGATACGCACACGAGTGTCTGCGCCTGGCGTTGTCTGGAGAGCCGGCTATTTTCGTTCCAGACGAGTCGTAGACGTCGCGGTATCCCCAGAGACATTGGCAGGCTAATTTAACCTTAACCCCTTCACACCCTTTCCATTTCCCATGACGACAATATACCTCTGTCGTCTTCGTCGGCGAATTTTTGCCTCTTTGGCAGGAAAAGCCTGTCCCACCTTGCGCGCGAACGATTCCGCCGACATTCTCCCGTCTAGACTCGCAGACTTATATATAAAAGACAGTAAAAATCGCGCATATACCTATTTATCACAGCTCTAAATATTTCGTCGAATTTAGAATCTTAGCAACAATTAAACATTATCATTGTATCCGCCAATTATTGTTTTATAATTTATATATTTTCATAATGTATCAAAATATATTATTAAGATATATAAATTATAAAAACGTAAAATCCTATTAAAATAAAATTCACCAAAAATTATAATTGCTTTAAGAAGATCAATGTTATACAATATGTATATTTGTCAAATTAATTATCAAAAATAATTCTGTACTTTGAACTCTCTCGTGAAATTTTAAAATACATTGTATTTAAAAAAAAAAAACATCGTAAGATTTATAACACCGTATATATAAAGAAAAAGATACTCTTTATCTTATATACTTACATATATATTGTGTATATAAAATTTATACATTCGGATTCTTGAGTTATGATAGCTACATACAATTCAAAAGTCTCACGCATGTCTTAGCATTAAACACTCCTCGGCATGCAATGTGCCGGAGCACTTCAGGTGTTAACAAGAATGCGAGAAGATTCTATACTAAGAGATTTAACATAATTAGACACGCGCGTAGCGACGAGTATCTTTCACCACACTGTTTCACACTGTGCCCCGTTAACTGCATTTACATGTGCGACAAGATACGACGGGCATTCTAGTTGCAAGTGCATCGTTCTGTGAATACACCGTTACTCCTAATTGTGAGTCGAGTATATCTCGACTTACCACGGTGCCGTCGCCCTCCGAACGCGATGCACGTTCCGGCCCCAAGCTCCGTTCTTTCTCCGTTGCTCAGTAACTCAGAACCTCCGATATTTACGGCGCCGCGCTTTCCGACGCTTTAATGCGTCTGTAAACTTTCGTAACGACCGTTCACGACTCTCAAGACTTTTAGCTGGAGGTTTTAACGCGCGAAGTTAATAAAGATGAAAAAATACCTACCGTCGCCCCTTCACTCGCGATAATTCAGTTATTCAGGGCGTGCGATAAGGCGCAAGATCGAACTTATGAAAGACGTAAGTCGACGAAGTAAAACGACGATAAGGTGCGGATAAAAAAGAAATAAATTACTGAAGATAGCGACAGAGGCAAAAAGAGGCGCACTATATATACGATCGAATAATTTATCAGAGATCATCATATATCGTAAAATGCGGGAGTTCGCCATTTAGATATTTCGGTAACTTAAAGTTCTGTATCTCAAATTAAAATTCTAAACATTTACGCTCTTAAAGCCTGATACGCTAATTGTCTCTCCCATGTTAAATAAAAAAATTGAACTTTTCGCCAGAAAAAAAAGTTCGATGTAAATATGCTCTTGCTTAGAAGATATCTTGCTTCCTACGATTTAACGATAATTGACTGTAGCACATAAGAACCATTTAAACCGCGGGCACGACTTTTCTAATCGTTCGCGTATTAGCCGCTAAGTAAAACCGACAGTGGCAGGAAATGCCCGTGATTCGTCGAGTTAACTGACCTGTCAATTAGCAGCACATTATCGCCGACCCTCTTGTGGCAGAAGCCCCACACCGGTATCGCGTTGAAGGTGATGTTAATGGTGGAATACTGAATGGGCTCGTTCGCCATGCCGCCGGCGCCCTTTCCGCTCACCTGCGTCACGAACTCGCCCTGGAATTCCGCAGGAAAGTAACAGCCCACCATGAACTTGGGGTCGTAATCTTGAAGGACCTCGCTCGTGATTATGGTGCCGTCTGAAAGGAAGAGGATGAGTCTCTATTAGAGCTGGTTGCGTCAACTACTGAAATTTTGCGAAAGAGGCAAATGCCTTCGTGCGAGAAAGACTTTTTAATTTATCATCTTAAATTATTTTTAATTTATTTATTATTATGTATTATAAATATATATATATTATTATTAAAAGTATAAATAATATTAACTCGAACTAGACCGCGCAAGTGAATAACACAACTAAATTTGAGAGCGCCTTTTACGGTCACGACTGGGTCTTGGTGCCTAATAAATTCTATATAAATTTTTTAATTCATTATTCAGCCATTTATACTGCGTGCCGAATCAATGTCGAACTTGCAACGCAATCATTAGCTGAAGTTGAAATAACGAGATCACAATTGATCTTCAATTCTTAATTCAATGCTTATAAGCGTCTTATAATCCTGTGAAGAACTTAACCGCGCGAAAAATATAAATATTCAAAAATTCTTGATTCTATTATTGTAATCATATAACATATCATATAAATTATGATTTTAAATATATTCTTTTGAAATAATTATGGAAAAATGTTAATGTAAATGAATAATATTAACAGAATGCTTGAGTTGTAGATTAATTGTCTACAAAGACTGCATATTTATTGAAGTAAATTATTGTGGAGTGAATAGACAATCAACCGAGTGAAATGTAACGAATTCTCGAGCGAATGATGAGGGGGGCGTGGGAACGACCTTAATACCGGCGTCATAACGGATTCCTCAATTAATTTTTATATCGCGAATGACCTTCAAACCGGAAGTACAAGTTTATAACGAGTTTCGTGCGAGCGCTCAAGTAAATAAAAAAATAAATCGTCCGTGACTGTACAGCTGCATGCGGTCCAGTCAACGCGCCGCGACTGCTTCGAATCGTTCTAGCGGCAAATTGGCATTAGACTAGTGTCACGCGTAACGTTTCAATGTCAATAGATAAAAGACAAATAAAAATTTAAATACCGTAATCGCACTTTCAATTACTGCAATATTAATGTCCTTTCAGGATAACAATTGGATTCAATAAATATAATTGTTCCAAAAAAATTGCTCAAAATGAAAAAAGAAATCACTAGAAGATATATTAAATATTAAATCACAAAACTGAAATCGTCAATAGCTGCACGCTTATTACTTCATCAAACTTATTCTTCGATTTGGATGTATTGAAAGAGCGATATCTGGCAGAGACGACAATGCGTTTTGACGGCGGTGCAAAGAGTTGTGGCAAAACGCAAAACGGTAACTATAACAAATAACTTCGTGCTCTGCCACCCGCATGTCGTGCATTCAGCAGCCCGTGAAAGGTCATTACCGTTGCCACTAATTGTAAAGTGGTCAGGCCGAGAGACAGGTGCGACGATGACAGGTGGGATCAACAGCGAAGAGTAATATATATTATCGTTTCCTCCTTTCTACATACAAAAGATATATGGGCTACATTTAATGCGCCAGAAGACACAAGATTATATTCCAACGCGGTAATTTCTATTATTTCATCTCAGCGAATCTGGGGGATTAGAAATATTGATCTATACTTATTAGTTCGTAATATTCGAGTAATTTAAAAGTTTCTCCATCTTTTCTAAGCAGCACAGAAAGCATTTGTATCTACGTTATATTAGTACAATTATAATAATTTTGACGGATTGAAATTTGTTTTAATAAAATAATCGAGATTTCATTGCAGGAGACCTGCACCTTCTCACGATCTCATTCTCAAAAATGTCGATATAAAAGTGTGCTTTGCGATATCTCGCGACACGTCTAGAGCACACTCGTGAAACACGATGGGGCGCTGATTGAAAAACGGTCGGCGTTATATTTGAAAGTCGAGCAAACCGTGCTGCGGTCGGTCAATCGGTCGCGGCGGTGGCCACTCTTTCTATCGTCTTTCTTGTTACAACCAATGCTTGTGCAAAAAGCGAACCAGATAAATTACTTCACGCACATGATCCGCAGCATAATGGAGGCGAAACCGCGATCGGGGCTCTCGCAGTCCGCGCCGTGGTGGATCATTAACGAGGACCATTGTGCATATCCCGTCCTTTGTGCGACTCTCGCTGAACCGCGAACATCCCCCCGGCTCGTCCGATGAACCGTGCAACATTGTAATAGGTAGCCGTTTGAACCCCACCTCCCCCCCCCCCCCCGGTCGAAAAGAAAGGCAGGATACTCGCGCACATGACGAATAAAACATATATCCATCCTGGTTATTATTGTCCCGCGCGGACTGTAATTAACCCTCTCGTGTGCTGAACGATATTGCGCCGACGAGAGATATTCCGCGCCCGAGGAAACGCATAAGGCAGAGAGATCTTTTGCGCGCGCGCGTGCAAAAAGCGATGCGTAGCGCGTCAAGCAAACGCGTAATCAAAGTGACGGCCGTTTGTCAGAACGCCGAGATAGAGAATAGAAAGAGCCGTTGATTAAATGATTAAACGTTAGTCGACGTTAGCGCGTAGGTAGAGTAAGCGCATCGACGATGCAAACCAGATAACAACAAACCGTCTCGTATTCCTTATTTAGCTTCAAGCGAGCTAAGTGTTACTCTCAACAAGGGATTTCCATTTGAGATTTTTATGTTGAATCATTAACCGATTCGACGCGGAGAAGCAGTCGTAATTCAAGGAGTTGCGCAACTTTCTTCGTTCTGAATTGTCCGCGGTGAAACGAATCGAAGGAGCGACGTGCCTCTCTCGTTCTTTTCGCGGGCGCGCGGATTCCGGATGTCATTAATTGACCGATAGATAATTAAAGTCGGCGCGACGGCACGAAAGCCTCTACGGTGTACGCGATGTACGCCGCGTGCGGCAAAAGAAACGAATGGTACGCCGAATAAGAAAAGGCGGCCGCGTCCCTTTCATTAAGGGCCTGCACGGAACGACGGAAGTGGGATCAAGTTTTTCCCACAAACCCTCCCCGGCAGCATCTCGGCCGGCCGCGTATCTTTGTACACACGTGTTATTTCCCGGCCCGACCCGCGCGCGATTAATGCACTTGCGGCGATCGAGCGGCAATCGAGCGCTCGTCTCGATCCTTTTGCTCTCTCGGTTCTCCGTCGTACGCTCGACGGGAAGAGAGTTCGCAAAAATTAGATCTTTTACAAAGACAAAATTATCCTTCGGAACATCGCATCGGAAATGAATAGATAGATCCATATTTTTTGACTTAATCGGTGAATCACATTTCAGCAAGTATATGTATCTTCTAAACAAATTGAACTCTCTAAAAGTGAATCAGTGGAATCATCACTGATTTTCAGTGTGTATCATTTTCCAGTACTTTGAACTGTGATCCAGTGACTATTTCAATGTTGTTTCAGTGATAGTATATATACTGATTCAAACAGTGAATATGACTGAAAGACAGTTTTGAGAACTGGAATTTACTGTCTTTCAGTGATATTCACTATTCGAGTCAATATACATTATCACTGAAACGACATTGAAATACACTGTTTATCACAGTTCTAAGTATGCCACTGGAAAATGATACACACTAAAAACCAGTGATGATTCCACTGATTCGCTTTTAGAGAGTTTAATTTTTTGCGATCATTCACTTTTAGAGAAAAGATTTAGCGACATATTGAAAATAAAAATTACGGCGAGGTTAAATCGAGTTACATCTGCGCTAAGGTATTGCCTCAATAAAATTTCTTCCAGATCGGGCAACTCTGTCCGGCCGATATGCATCGCCAGCGTGCAGTGTAACGCATGCATACATAACATTAATTTATCTTGAAGCGTAATTTCCGCCTCTAATGGGCGCCATCAATATGACAGTAGGGAGACGCGGGGGGGGGGGGAGCGAGGAGGAAGAGGAGGTAAAGAAGGGCGAGAAAATCGGTGCGCGCAATCTCCGATATCGTATTCAATGTCTTCGCATGTTCGAGGGACGTATCCTCCGGGCGACGCGCACCGCTCCGCTCCTCAGGGTTGCATTCCTCGCGCGCAACCGCCCGGTCGCGGCCAACGACGGCGTTGCAATTACTCGAAAGACTTTTTGGTTCCGGTAGGAGGCGTTTCTCTCATTCTTTCTCGCGTGTAATGCGTCCGCGCGCTCCACCTTATCGCTTCCCTTCATCTACATAAAGGACGATCAACTGCCCCTCTTACGTGACCTTCATATTCCCTGCTCTCCGCTGTCTCTCTCTCTCTCTCTCTCTCTCTCTCTCTCTCTCTGCAACTTCACTCGTTATCCCCCTTCCCTCTGCAGCCCATGGATCCTCTTATCTCTACGTACCTCATGACGGTGCCAGGTGTTCGCATGGAGCAGCCTCACCCCTCAATACGTCGGGATTATCGATAAGGACAGTGGGTAATCGATATCCCATTTGCTCTCTTTACGAATCTCTCAATCTTATCTTAAAAACCGTGAGCACGTCGCATTATAATTAACGAGCGTGCGTCACGCACCGTCTACCATTTTACGACGTCCATGAGAGATACACTTCGAGACACTTGTTTCCTTTTTTCGAAGGCGCCGGGAAAGAGTCACTATATGTGGATATATGCATACACCCTGTGTAATGGCGATCCAGTTCTCCATAATGATCGATTGCGCAGCATCAATAATTAATTAAGCATTAGGGATCGCATGCAATTTTCTTAGAAAGCTTTCAGCTGAGATGCGAGATAAAATTAAATTACACAGTTCCGCAAAAGATATAGTTTCTCCTTTGATTTAGATGTTGATTATAATTCTCAGGTGCTCAGGAGGAGGATATGGTGCTCGATTTTCTTGTCCGGAAAAAAATTATAATCTTTTATTCCGGTTAGACATTTTAAATATTAAGTCGCCAATTATCAGCCTTTCTCTTTATTGAAATAAAGTTTGTCCCAATGCAATTTCGCCACTAATATATTTATTTTAAAGGCCAAATTAATAAAATTTTTATCTCTAACGTTAAATAAGTCTGTGATACATTATTCCGCGAGTATTTAAATTAATTCAAACTCCAATTTCTTCTCCCTATAATG